TCAATACAATACTACGTTCACTCTCCTACGCTCATCGTAATAAACCTTTCCTAGCCTTCATACTTCTGCATCATCAAACATCTTGTTATAGCGAGTCAATAATGTCAATCTGTCTGCCGAGTCATGAGATCATTACCTCATAATCGGCACACGGGAGGTTTTAAAATAATCTGGTATGCATTCCACCTGTCCATAATATATCACCTCAAAGTCAGCGTAGAGAAGCAGCCTCCCGTAGGAGTAACTCTCGATGAAGGCGTGAGTGCCTCTCCTCATCAATGGGATGATTTCTTCGTACTCCTTGAAGAGGTCCAGTTTATCCCCGAGAGCCCGGTACACCCTGTTTTCCGATGTCTTCAGAGCCCCCGGCACGAATTCCCCGTAGTCACACATGGACACCCTGGTGGCAGAGAGAGCGAGGCTGTGAGGACTCGATGATCGCTGTAAATCCCTACTGAAAAGATGGTTCTCTTTCACTCGTCTATCGTTTACGTTTTCTTCTCTCTGAATGTATTCTATAGTATTCTTCCCCGGTTACACGCTTAACGGTATTTCTTGGTTTAGAAATAAACTTAGCCACTCTCGGCCAAGTAGTGGGTAGTTTGGACACTAGGCAGTACCTGTAGTCACTCTGGGCCAGCTCTTCTAATGTCTGGATGCGCTTGGGAAACACAGGGATGGTGAGGAAGGCGATGAGGTTGGCGGTGTAGGCGGTGGTGAGGATGAAGCAGTAGACCCACCAGACCCCCACCAACACACGCTGCCACTGAGCCGTCGGCAGCACAGGTAGGCTGTGGTTCACTACCGCTCTCAGCAGGTAGGGCCATGTCTGTCCCAGCCCGCCCAGAAACGGCTCCGGCTGTAGCAAGTCCTGTTCACATGTGGAAAACTTGTCACAACTCGCATAGATCTTAAGTTTTTATCAAGATCATGACAAAAATGTGTGTGTGTGTGTTATATACAACTCATGTCTCTCATGTAGAATTGCAATTGTCAGAAAAAAAAACATTATAATGGATGAATAAAGGGGAACATAATGTACTCATTGGCTTGTGAAGTCTTACTTGTCAAAGGAGGATGGTCAGGGAGCAGGAAGACATTGTTTTTCTACAATGAAGACGACTATTACCCCAGAAACACCTTGATCACCTGCTTAACTCTTTCGGCGAGTTTAACCTGCCTTCAGTTCTTTGCTTTAGGAGGTGAAACACCCCGAGGTTATCCAGTTCCTTAGGAACTCAATACTCTTAAGTCCTTTGGTCAGTACAATAGGGTTTGTCAAATGTCTCTTAACCTATAGAATTGTCTCACGTACCTGTAGGGTCATGATGACGACGACTATCGCAAAAGTGCCACCGACACAGAACCAGACGGAGGGCATGAAGGGGTAGTACGTGGCGCGCCACTTGGCCAGCGGCGCCGGGATCATCATGGCTAGGCCAAACCCTTCCATCCTGTACGACACGCTGGCGTCGAAGGCCTCCAGTCGTTCTTCGGTGATAACGAAATAGTTCACAGTAAAGTTTTTCTCCCCTCGGTGAACCATTCCCAGCATGCCGTTCCAGGAGCCGTTCTCATATGACCCCCACTGTTCATCAGGAGATACTGTTGTGACGTTATACCTGTAGTCCAGCACACCAGCCATGGCGTCCAGCATCTCTGCCACAACACCATCTCCAACTCCCTTAGCCTTTGTTGCCGACTGATACAGATATGGTCTATCGTCTAACCATGTTCCCAGCAGGAATTCATAACCTTCGAATGACTGGTACCGATCTACAAAAATATCCTCAGAGTTACGGAAGGTCGTTGGGTTCCAGTCTCCTAGGGCAATCACTGGCTGCACCTTAGAGAAGGGTAAAGACGTGTATAGTCTTGCCTTCGCACGTCTTTTCTGGAATAAAGGCGTCGGGTTCTCAAAGAGGACTAGTCTTTCTATGCCTTTAAAGACATTATCCATCAGTAGAGTCTGGACTGATTCATCAGCTAGACTAAAGAGCATAAGATATTTGGGATTCCACTGGAGAGAGATGGCCTCGAAAAATGGTCGGGGATCTTCCTTAAACACAACAATATGGATGACACGGGCTCCACGGAGCACCGGGGCAGGCTGGTCCTTGGACCACAGATCCCCGTCGGAGCCCAGGTCAACCAGGACACGAGGGGAGTCCTGGAGGGCTGGGAGGGCCAGTAGCTGGTCTAGGACCTTGACTTCCAGATCAGGGTCCCGGTACAGGACGACGCCCCAATCTGCTAGGGGACCTCGCAGCACTGTGTACAGCGCCTCAACACCAAACGACAAGGAAGAAGTCGTGTTTACAAGGAATCCCAAGACAGGATGTGTCACGGGAAGCAAAGTTACCAAGAAAATTAAAATCATAGCTTAATTATTGTGCCAGGAGACACCTCTTGTACATGAGTTACGGTCCTTCCTCCTGGTTCAGCAGCTGGGGTGACACTGGGTGACACTTGGTAGCTCAAGCATACATATACACTGCAGAGATCTCGTAAAATAACAGACGAGGTCGTTGAGAATCTTTGATGTGGTGGACACATTACATCGGGTTACAATTCTTCGTCCTCACTCCCGACTGGTGACAATGATAACGCTACTTCACATTAAATATTTCGTAAACAAAAGCTATAAAATGTGAGATAAAAGAGAAGAAATGTTGGAAGACATAAAAAGTGAAGCATCAGTTTGAATCAAAGCAGAAAATAGATTACCTCATTAATTGGTTTCTTCTAATTGTTTTCTCTCGTGTTTGTTCTCTTGTATCTTTTTTTTTCTTCAAATCAAGACGAGTTTAATGGTCAGAGTTGATCAAGTTTTAGTTGTATCTTACCTTGTCAAATAAACTCAGGATATTAAAAACACTAGTAAATTAATCTATGTGTTACCAAAAAGACTGATAAACACAAGAAATTACCACGGTAAATATTAAAACACAAATTAAACTAAAAAAAAAGAATACATCACATTAACTAAATACCTTTGCGGAGTCTGTCTTAATTTCAAGTTATATAACTGAATGAGAATAAATAATATGTTGTGTGAGTATGAATGAGTGTGATGATTATGTGTGTGTGTGTGTACAGTAAACGTGTTTCTGCGGTGTACGCAACCTGCAGCCTGGCGAGTTTAGTGTAATCGCTGAGTTGACTGTTCCAGGAAAGTCATTACTGTCTTGTTTCAGTGTAATATACAACGTACAAAAATCATAACCCATCAATCAGGTTACAACCTATTAAATAAATATACAAAAACAGCCAGAGAAAAGACACTGGGGTTCATTCTTAGACCTTGTAACAGCGAGTCTTTGTCATAACATAATACGTCCTTGTGCTGTATATATACACTGCACCTGTGACCAAGTTATCCCCTTCAACACTGACTGCTTGGGCGGCTGGCCCCGTCTCTGTTACACACTGTTGGCATGCACTGGTTCCTGAATGCGTCTAAACCTACTCCAGTGCTCATCAAGTCTGGTCTTGGAAGAGCTCACACTCGGTGCCGTCACTACACTCGGTAGCAGATTGTTCCAAGAGTTCACAACTCTCACTCCGAAAAGGTTAGCCCTCAGTTTTTTGGGTTTGCGGCTTCTTCAACCTTGAGCCTGTGTTAGTGAAGTCTGGTAATGAATAAGCTATCATGGCAGGTTACTCCAAGATTTGACAACTCTCACTCCAAAAACATTTGCCCTGACAATTTTCTGAACTTGTGGCTTCTTAACTTGAGGTTGTCACCTCTAGTGGGGCGGTTATCAGCTAGTTCTATGTATGGACAGTGACTGGACACTCGACTTAGTTATGTCCTCTGAGGTGCTTATATTTTATTTAAAGTTTTGTAGGAATGTTACCTACGCGGACCTTAAGATAAAATGATGGTCCGCCCGAGGTGCTTATGGGCTTCTATTAAGTCACCCCTTGCCCTCTATAGTATCAGATAGGCAGCTGCGGGTGTTCTAATCTCACTAGGTACCTGAGGTGCCATAGTGCTGCATCACCGTGACACCTTTATACTTTAAACTGTAAATATTTAAATGTACCTGTACTGCTGTGTCTCAATATTAAGAATGTGGAAAAAAAATGATGCAATGCAGCAGTGGGGAACAGCACAGCAACTCGCTGCTCCTCACTGCATCATTCAACCAGTCGCCTCACGTAGCTGTACCTACCAAGGTTACCCATTCTCTTCGAATAATAATGTGGGTCGGCATCAACAGTACCTCGGAAGGTAATGAGATTCAGGTTGAGGATTCACTGATGTACTGTATGAACCGTAGTAGATTTAAGTATACAATACAGGTACAGCAATTCTAAAATAGTGACAGTATATTGAGTAGATGCCTTAATATATAGTTATGAATAGAACTGTATAAAAACTATATAACCATCTATTGTATTTGGAGTTCACACGTACACACTACTTAAGAGTAGCGCCTACCACTGCTACAGCCAAACTCTGATAGTAGTGTATAATACATTTTTACTTTACCTTTATCCTCTTCACCACTGATCGGCTCGTTAGCCGCTTGGGCGATCGGTCACGTCTCTGTTACGCACTGCTGGCAAGTACTGGGCATGCACCGGCTCCTGAATGTACCTGAACCTGCTCCAGTGTTGGTCAAGTCTGGTCTTGAAAGAGCTCACACTCGGTGCCGTCACATCACTTTCTGGTAGATTGTTCCAAGAGTTCACAACTCTCACTCCGAAAAAGTTTGCCCTCACAGTTTTCTGGACTTGCGGCTTCTTCAATCTTGAGCTGTGACCCCTTGTGGGGAGTAATAAATTATTTGTCTGTTTTGTCATTAATAACAGATCTGGAGTTTTCGAGATGAAAAATTCAGTAAATCGACGGAGATACATTGGTTTTGTGTCTAGATATTCTTAAATATTCACTGAAATAGACGGTCTCTTACATCCTTGGACTAGAAGTTTATCAAAACTCTCACAACACTCATTAGTACGAAGGTAATAGAGAATAGTGATGATTGGAATCCTTAAGTAATGCTCAACGACGTGTATCAGTTACAGATCACTAGTAGGAGGCTCTCGAAATTGAAATAAGCTGCGGCTATTATTCACGTGATTCATTTTGCGTCTTGTTTAATAAACTTATAAAAAAAAGAATCTTTCCCATAAGAACATTTTCTTTCGATAACTTGAAACGGACAATCTAACTATTTTTCTTATTGTTTCATAACATATAATAATAATGGCCGTCATTGTACAATATCCTAACACTCATTATTCTCTTACTTAAACGTACTACGTTAAGATTGTCTTCTACTGTTGCGCGTGCTATACATTTGTATCGAGTCGATTCTTCTTTATATTGTATCGTGTCTCCCAATATCCCTTACCTTTACACATAGAGTGGTTATGTTGTTTAATGTTCCAGTGTGCAGTGAAAGAGCATATGTATGTATTAACAAATACATGTAATACATGTTAATTGTCAAACAATATCTGACTGTAGATGGAGAGAAAGAGAAAGTTAAAGATTCCTGAACACAGGCATTTAACAGCGAACATTTACAAGATTAAACAGATTTTTTAGATTTATATTGCCCCCGAGGGGGCTAGTTTATTGGGCACCCCTTTACATCCTGTGCAAGGTGAAGCGCAGAAGCGGCAGAAGCGTTTGCTGCACCCCTCGGAGAAGCATGCTAAGTTCATGCTTGCCGTTATGACTCATGCATTAAGGGTGTAGAAGCCTGAAGGGTTATAGGTTTTGTCAGCAAGTTACATAAAGTGACAGAATGATGAGTGTGTGTGTGGGGGGGAAGTGGTGTTTATGCAAAGCGTGGCAGGTCCCAGTGCCAGGCCTGTGACTAGGAGGAGGGATATCTGGTCAGGGAGGGAAGAGGTGTTGGTAACGGCTGGGGACCTGTAGGAGGAGGTCATAGGGCAAGTGAGGATGTAGTGAGAGAGGGTGTGAGAGTCGGGTTGGCCACAAAGTTTACAAACAGTGCGGCCAGGCTCAGGGAGGTGTTGGTAAAGGCTGGGGACCTGTAGGAGGAGGTCATAGGGCAAGATTAAAAACAGTTTATATGTGCGGGACTTGTTTGTTCATTCGTCTCTCGAAGGTTAAATTTATATATATTTTTACCATATAATTAATATAATATGCTGCATTACATATATAATCAGATTTTTATTATTATAGTATTATTATAATAAAATAAATAAATATTGAAGTGATAACCGTGGTAACACTATGAGATGTACTTATTACTACCATGCTATTGTACTATTCCAGATGATACTAAATGTTACATAATACTTCCTTGAGATAAATGTATAGTATATAGTATATCAGGTGCCTCAAAGAGAGCTCAGGTTCTCAATTGGCTCAGCCATGTTAATATTGTTATTATTATCCACTCTATATCTATATTTTTCTGGCTAAATAAACTGTTACAATTCAATTCAACAATTCAGTATTTACAAATAAAACTTGTTTGTTTGCTTCAACAGACTCGGGGTTCAGGTGTTCGAGCCTCCAGCTGTGAGCGGCAGGTCGAGAGTAAAAGTTGTGTTGTCATTGAACAGTGAAGTGACGACTCTTTACCATGGCGGGGGGAACCGAGAAGCCTGAATGGCCACTACAAGGCCAATTTAGACGATATAAAGTCAAAGGCAACCCATGTGACATCAGGATCGATGAAACAGGTTTTACAGTGTCAAGTAAAGGCGACGGAGCATCAGGCGTAGTAAAACAAGAAGTGTTAAAGGCCTCGGACCTGGTGGGTTGTATGTGTATGAAGGCAGGACCTGCTGAGGCAAGGACACACCTTGCATTTTTCACAATATTCGCTTATCCATTGAATGACAAGGGGAAGAAGAGAAGGAGAGTGACGTTTTCTTTTGAAGTCGATAAAGAAGACACCTTTGAGAAGAACTTGGAGATCGCTGAGACTTGGAGGAGTGGTGTGTATAGGGCCATCAGGATCTTTGGTGAGTGCTTATACCGTACCTGAGTCATGACAGCATATAGGAGTAGATTCAGGATCGAGCAGATCATATGTACTAAATTATGAGAAGTTAACTGCCTTCAGGGGTGAGCTCGACACAGACAAAAATTTGTTTTTACTTTGTGGATATAGACACAGCAGCCATATTGTTGGACTGATGCTAATGGTTAGGTTAGTCAGAAATAAGGCCATCTCAGTAACTTTTGTTGTATAGTCTGCCCAACCACACTTGCATATTAGGCTGCCATACCAATAGACATGGACGTTTCACACACGGCTGCTGTACCTATATCCTGTGACTTTTTGTTAATGCAATTGTAGAGTGTCCAGTGTGGGATAACTTAAGCTTTAGGTTCACAAGCAATGTTCTGACTATGATACTAGACTGCCTGGACTGTACAGGGCATGCTTCTATATACAGTACACTTACCCTGTATTTGTACTTCACTACATATAACTTGCTAAAAATTGGCCCAGCAGTCACTCTTCCCCACCCATCATCCACTGTAAGTTCTAAGAAGGCAAGCTTGAATTCTGCATGCTTCACTGTTTGCTGCGGAATGCTTCTACGCTTTGCCTTACACAGGATGTATGGGGGTGCCCAATGAACTGTCTTCTTAGTTGATGTATCCTGTTCCTCTATTCCCGTAGTCGATGTAACCCCTTTGCATGGTCATTGAGCTCTTCGTCTATTTGGACTTATCATGTTATACCAATTTCAGTACCAATTTCAGTACAGTATTTTTAATTTTTTTACTCTAGCTGGTCATGTTTTAATAAGTTATTTTTTCCAACAGGTACAGCTAACCCCCAAACTGACAAGAGTAAAAAGCTGTTGATGCTTATTAATCCAAACTCAGGACCAGGAAAAGCTCAACAGATATATAAGAAACAAGTGGCCTCAGTGTTTGGTGAAGCAGAGACTGATCATGAAGTTATTATTACAGAAAGGGCGAACCATGCACGAGAGATAGTCCAGTCTCTCAACCTAGCCAAGTATTCTGGAATTGTCATTCTATCTGGGGACGGCCTTCTTTTTGAGGTCAGTTCAGTTTCTCAACTTTGCCAAGTACTGTACTCTGGAATTGTCATTTTCTCAGGAAACAGTTGCCACTATGAGGTTCACATTTTATGTCACTGTCACATTTATCCGAGGATGAGTGTTTGCCTCTTCTCTCTGTGTTACACCTAGGCAGACTGCATGATATTGTTAACTCTTAAGTGTCTTGTATATGCAGGCAATCATGTGGCCTTAGCAAGGCAAGAAAAACTCAGCATTTGGGATATATCTGTGGACTGTGTCGGTGACTTCTGCTAGTGGTGGTGCAGCGAAAAACACAGAAGAGAGTAACATTAGCTGAGAAAAGAGTGACTTGGGAGGAGCTCTGTGAGGTTCAGATTCCAGCATCCCTCAGTCATCATTACAGCATAAATGAGTCGACCATACAAATTATTTGAGCTTGTGAGAAGACTTGTGGTAGTGTAAAGGCTTCAGCATCTCTAACACTGTGTTAATATCTCCGTTAGTCGGAAACCCCCGTAGTTGGAATCCTCCTATACCCAGAATTGAAATAGGCTTGGAATTTTTCAGGAAAAATTATCTCAACTCAGTGTCTGTGAACAAGTTTCTGAGGTTGAAAATCAGACGCATTTTATGTAAATATTCTGGAAAATCTCTACTAAAATTTTTTTCCGGGTCTGGAAGCAAATTTAGAGGTTGAAAATCGGGCACATTTTCTAGAAAATTACGGAAACCTCAATTTTTCTTCCCTTGGTCTGGGACCAAATTCCGAGGATGAAATAATGTTAGATTCTTGGACACTTTTACCCATTACCTGGAAAAATTCAGGGGATGTAGGATTTTACCAGGTTTAAAGATAGTTGTCTTGTTACACGGAAATCTCTCTTACCCAGAAGAGCTATTCACCAATTATTCCGGCTAATAAGGGTTTCTCGAGTGCCGTAGAAGTGATCCTTGTATTGAATGGATAGTGAAGTTATTATGCTTGTGGTTCATTGTTCAAATAAACAATAACATTTCTTTTGTTGATGGTGTAGCCATACAGGAAAAGCATATCCTGTAATTTCAGTTGGTTAAGGACTATTGCATTCAGCTTCCTCCAAACCCTATTTTTCACTAAAGGTATTAAGATAACCTAACAGTGTTATTCCACAATGTAACCCTATATACTGTGATCCTGTTGTATATTTTGTATAGCCTTTTGTTCCCAAGGTCCTAACCCATAGGTATTGGAGGGCGTTGTACTGCACATAAATTGCTCCTCATTGACGAAGACGTCAAATTGGTGTTCAGAATTAAATCCTCATTTCTTTAACAGGTATACAATGGCCTTTTTGAGAGACCAGACTGGGAACAAGCAATCCAGTACCCCATCGGCATGATTCCAGGAGGCTCGGGGAATGGGCTGGCAAGATCCCTTGGACAGTGGCTCAAGTAAGTAGTACTGTATACAGTACCGGTAAATAGTTCTACCATTGTAGTTGATGATTAATTTATTTAAAACATGTACCGGTAGTCTTTGGGTCTTAAAGTACTGTATATAGGTTTATGTATTAATTTTAATTACTGTCACTGGGGTAGAATCTCCCATAGAAACCCAGATGGGCAGTGTGGCTATAGCTCCAAGTAATTCTGATTTACTTACTGAGAACAGAGTTATCTTATTGTTCTCATTTAGAAAGTATAGTATTGTAGTAATTTTTTCCCAACTTTTATAGTTTCATTCCATGTAGCAATATGCCATCTCAAGGTCACCTCATCCCCAGTTTTTCCTCTTCCCAGTGAGTCAGTTATCACTAAACCAAATTTTGACTTGTTAAATGAGAGGGTTTCAAAATGTTTTTATCGCTTAACTGAATTAATGCTGAATGAGGGATACCTGTTCAGTATATTATTCCATTAAAACATTTTGAGTAAACCACGAACTCCCACCTTTTTAATGGACTATATCGAGGGTCCATTATATTTGAAACCTCCATCTAACGAACTACAGTACAGGTACACAGAGGGGGGGGGGGTGAAATCCGTTATATCTAGGGTCTGTTAGGTGTGAAACCCCCATCTCATGGATTATATATTATATGGAAAGAGAAGGTCGTTATATGGAGGTATCACTACAGTATGTTGTTTCTTGCATCACTTGTTAATTAGAGTTTGTGTTTATTGTAGTACTGAGTATCCCACACTACAAGACCTTGACCTTTCCTTTCCCAGTGAACCCTACTTGGCTAACCCTGTCTTGGTATCTACACTCAACGTAGTCTATGGCCACCTGTCTCCTTTGGACTTGGCTATTGTCCAGACGGCAGAAGGGAAAGTAAGATTTTGTTTATATATATATATATATATATATATATATATATATATATATATATATATATATATATATATATATATATATATATATATATATATATATATATATATATATATATATATATATATATATATATATATACTGTATATATATATATATATATATATATATATATATATATATATATATATATATATATGTAGTTCTTGCTTGTGTCTCGGCATAATTTTATAAGGCATGGTATCCATGATTTTTCATGAGTACAGTATGTATCGACAGTATTTCACTCTTGGGAGTAGGATGGCTCTTAATCCTAACAAATTTTGATCACGCAAGCTTCCTAGGTTTTTCTGAGGGTTTTATGGTTAACTGTATAGTTTACAGTAATTATCCATATATTGCAAGTGAAACAACTTAAATATGATAATGCAAGCTTTTTTTTTTTTTTTTTAGATTCAGTATTTTCTAAGTACAGTACTGTATATGGCTTTCATAGCCAGGGGAAAATGCCCAGGAAGAAAGATAGAGAGAGAGAGAGAGAGAGAGTTACTGGACAGTGAAGCCTCCATATAACAGATTTTTAACTCCTTATAATCCATTCGATTGGGGTTTCATACCTAACGGATCCTCGATATAACGCACTTTCCTCGCCATGCCCAATAGTCCATTAAATGGCGGTTTCACTGTACAGTATTAGTAAAAACAAGGGCTAGAAAGTCTCATTCTTATTCCTCTTCTCACCTTTCTAGGTGATGTTCTATTATAAAGAGAGAAGGAACCTGCGTGGTTGTTTAGAAAAATCCTGCGGTAAACACCTGTAGCTTGCAGTGGGAGCAGCTAGAGCAAGTAGTTTCACCATTTGTAGTATATATTTACTGTACTGTATCTATAAACAATAATATGTTCTCTGTTTGCATTTCTCCTCAGAGACTTCTTTCCTTTCTCTCAATTGGCTTTGGACTCATCTCTGACATAGACATTGAGAGCGAACGCCTGAGAAGCATTGGAGAGGCAAGATTTGTGGCATGGTCTTTTATACGGGTAGCCAGTGAGTAACAATATGGAAAAAGCTCTTAAGATGTTAAACTTACAGTTAAGTTGTTTGTAGTGATTTCATCAAATTTCAACATGATGGTGGAGGCTTAGTCTCCCAGGTGGAGGGAAGGAAGCTGTGGCTGTTGATATTTACTACTGATTCACTTTTGCTTTCCTCCAGTTTTTTTTAGAATGATACTAAAAAAGGTCTGCTTTTGGATAATTCTTTGTATTTGTTGATACTAGTGTTGGCCTCAACCAAGAAACAAGCTTATAGAATTTATAATTATTTATTTATTTATTTATTTTTGCAGATTTGCGCAAATATCCAGCTAAGATATCTTTCAAGCGAGCACAAAGAAAAACATCTAACCAAATACCAAAAGTTAGACCTCCATTGATGCATTCACAGACTTTTGAGGAGGAACCAGAAGTGGCATCAGAAGCCCTGCCTGATCATCTGCCAAGAAGTCAGAGTGTTGTGCAAGAGGTACTGTATATCTAATCTTCTTTGTCTTCTGTGTGTGTGTATAGGATATTTTGGTTTTCAGAAATAGCACTTTACCTTTTGTGTACTGGATCTCCTTTGAACTGAATGAAATTATCTGACGTTAGCCAAATTAGATATTAAAAGTAGCGTCTCCGTAGTGAAGGGGCTAAGGCTAAGAAGAAAGTTTATCATTTATTTCCATAAAGTTTTGATGTAATTTTCCTGCAGGGACAACTCAGTGAATGTACCCTTGACCTAAGTCCATCCCTCATTAAGGTGGAAACGCTTTACACAGAAGATGGTTCTGGACAAGAATGTGGAGATGGTGGACAGCAGAATCATAAAAGAGGAGTCGAGAGTGAAAATGAAAGTAATCGAGACAATCATGCGTTGACAGATGATTGTTTAATACCAGATCTTAATGAGCCTGTACCTGAGGACTGGGAGACCATTGAAGGTGAGGATGTTAGGATTTTGATTACGATGTACAACAGTTGATCATAATTTGGAATTTACTTTATTTCAGCAAGAATAAAGCCTCTGCAGTATTTCCAAATGATGAAGGTTTTACTGAATGTTCAAATACAGCACTGATTTTGCTCTTGGATGTCAAGGTTTCAATGTGTGTGTGTGTGTGTCTGTTCACAGAACTAATAGTGTTTCTGTTAGCCTCAAGGTGAGTGGATATGTTATGTGGAGCTGACCATATACTGTCCTGGTAAGTTGCACTAATCAGTAATGTGATGCCAGCTACCTCCTCATGTTTAACAGTACAGAACTATTAAGAAATTTTTTGTGTTAACACTAATGCTTTTTGATGTCTTTTGGATTGTGAAGGCATGTTAAAGTGGATCACTCAGGCTTTAACCCTTTACAGTGGCTGGCACAGATCACTAAATTATTTTTCCATTTACTGCTGTTGGTTTATATGAACATTCTTCCTTTTAAAATTGCAGTGTGAGGTGTTCAGTCCTTGTAATTTGAAGACTGTTGCATGGTAGGTCTGTGTGTGTGCAGGTCTTCATTTGTTTGAATGGTTATTCATTACATATGTAAACTGGCATATGTGGTTACAGTTCCTATCACTTAGTAAATTTAATTACATTGTCTGTGTCTGAAGTACCCTTACTAATTAATCTTTTCTTTTTGCAGATAACTTCATTATGGTGCATGCCACCTATCAGTCTCATATAGCAACGGATGCTTTTATTGCCCCAGAAGCCACACCAAATGATGGCATCATGTGGATAATGATGATCAGAGGAAGCACTCCAAAAAGCAGTATAGCCAAGGTTAGTATAACTCTGATATTTGTGTGAACTCAATTTTTGATGCTAGTAGTCTGAGTATACCGGGAATCACATATTTTACCCCCAGTAAATTTTTTTCATATATTTTTCATGAGTTCAAATTACTGTACAGGCAGTCCATAACTTACGAAGACACGGTTTACAAAACATTGAAGTTACAAAAAAATTGTTCCAGGAGCAACTATAATTGTTGTGTACACCAAACATGACCACCAAAAACAGTTTTGTAGGATTTTAAGATGTTTTGGGAAAGGTTATTTATCATAGCTTTTATAACGGGATCCGATTTACAGAAAAATTATTTAAGAAAGTTTTTTTCAGGAACGGAACCCTTTCGTTAATTGTGGACTACCTGTACAGTACTTGTTTTATGCTTCTAGTTAGATGTAAATTGCAAGGATATTATCACCCATGCATTTTTATTTTTCCAGCTTCTGTTGGGATTGGATGGAACTCACGTTAATGTGCCCGGCATAGAAATGATACCTGTAGTGGCACTGAGAATAGTTCCTGCCTCCAGCAATGGCTATCTCAATGTAGATGGAGAAGTGATACCCTGGGGGCCAGTCCAGGCTCACATCCTACCCAGAAGAGGCAATATTATGACACGGTAGGTCGTAATCCAGACATTGGACTAATTTAACATTAGTGTGTCTTGGAACTTCTCTGGAAAAAGTTAATTTAAAGTTAATGAAAAGTCATAACTTCACAAGATAATTCAAAGGCAAAATTACAACAGAACTTATAGAAATCTGACCATGACACAATTGGTTGTGCTGTACATGTCTAGGAGATTATCTACAATGTTAAGTAATGACAAGAATCACAATGTTGCAAACACATTGAAAATTATGCTTTAAAAAAATAACCAAATCATGTGTAGTTCAATGACATTATCATCAGTAACAAAAAGTTTTGGGCTTAATATAATTTAGAATTGTAGTGGCAGTGGCTTCTTCTAACTTTAATATCTTGTAGTACAGGGTATTTAACTCTGGACACATGCAGTATCTCTCCAAGCTACATTTCAATGGAGTGTCTACAGTGAAACCTCTATTTAACTGACTATATGTAGAGGAATCTTCGTTATATCAATTGAATTGAATTAAAACAGTTAGATGTGAAACTTCTCATCTAAAGGCATATATGACAAGAGAAGTCCGTTATATGGAGGTTTCATTGTATTCTCCAGTAAAATATGAAAATGATAACTGGTTCTTTTTTGTTACTTTTTTATGAAGGTAAAATCATAGTTTCCATATCTGACATTAATATTTCTTAAAAACAATATTTGACAGCAGAGGAATAATGTGAAGAGAAATGCAATATAAAGTATTTATGGATTCCTCAATTAGTGTTATAAAGATCAGCCATTAATTTATCAAAATCTGTTAATAATTCTTCAAAAGCATTATTTTAGCAGCAGAAGCAAGATAATTTATCTATGTCCAAAATGTAAGTCTTTATTTATGCATTATGATAAATAACACTTCTGAAACATTGCTTGACATTATAATATCCACAATGTATCCAAATATAATGGTGAAAACAAAGTAAAAATTAGGACAAAGAGATGATAGTGTCACAGCACAGGTGGCGGCTACCAGCTGAGTGAGTCATTGTTTATGGGCGAGGTCGTCATTATGTGGCAACAGTTATTAGTTTATTAGTACAGTACAGTATTCGTGATTCATTTGACTGTGGTTGAACAGCACGTCCAAAGGGTTAATAGCTTTATATTCCCCTGTACTGCCTATGAAAATGTATGGTAATTTTTCAGTTTGACCATAAAGTTGGATGTCTTGGGATAGTGTTCATATTTGATAGACACAGAGAAACTTTATGATATACAGGGTATTATAATAATATACAGTATATTATTTACACTTATAAGTTTGTTTATAAAATACTGTATACAATAATGGTTTTACATGGGGATGACTAAATCATGAATGTACTGTAGTCTGTTAGTAAAGTAAGTATTTTCATGAATTGTTTTGGGTAATGTAATTTGTGGATTGACATGAGGAAGTATGTACTGTACTGTATAGTACAAATACTCTTTGATGACTTGATTTTATTTTAGCCTCTAGCTTGTATCTGTACGTGTAGAAGAGTACCAAGGTATCTTAGTATGAACACCTTGAGGTACATAGTATTCAAAATTAAAATTTCATTTTTTTTCCTTCATATTGTCTTGGCCTTTCTGCTGCTTTGTAAACACATCTTACCCTTTTCTCACTATTACTACCCCCTTTGAGGCTTTCAGAGCCCTTGATCCAATCTGGGTCTTGTGCTCTTAAAATTATTCTTATCTAGTATAGGTAAAGTACATTGAAGTGTCAGACTGTTCTAATTCAAGGATGATGTAGAGACTTTGGTTGAGGAGGATTTCGAGCATGTTCACCTGGAAGCAGTGTTTTCCTTACCTTTGGCATCTTTTAGTTGGATGTCAGACCTTTAAAGTGTAAGGAAAAGTAAGGAGTTTCCTTTTCTTGGTACAATTCAAGTTTTACTGACACACCTGAAACACTAAATATATTATCGACATTCTATGACCATTTATTGTAGGAGGAGGAGGTGGCTTTGTTGCCCTGATAGTCATTCATTCCCCAGAGGAAACCTGAGTTAGTTTTGTTGCAACTCCAATATGTCCTTTATAATTCTTTCTTAGAAGGTATATTTACCTGGGAGATAGTACAGTATACACATAATTAGAGAACCTTGTAACATAAGGTTGGAAGTACTGGCTGTGTGTAGTGTAGTGCTAGTGAATTGTTACTGATTTGATTAGTATGATAGTAAATGAGGCTTTGTGAATTCTGCTTATGATTAGGTAATGGAAAGTAAAAAGAAAATGCATCCGTGAAATATCTTGAGGAATTTGATATATTTCATGTTTTATAATATATATTGGCGAGTCTGCACTATATGATTGAGGCAAGTCTAATGTTTATGTGTTTTTTAAATAATTCTATTAGATTTCATTGCTGCCAGTGATGTAAGAAAATGAAGGTGACACTAATACAATACTGTATAGTTATCTCTGAAAAATATACCAATACAGATACAGTATGTCATTCCGTATAGTATGTCATATTGTCACTATATTGCTTTTAAAAATAAGGAAGGACCAAATTTTTTTGATATAGTAGCTAATATGTTAATGTCTTTCATCCAAGCTGTTTTCTTAACATTTTGTTTGTTTCACCTAAGCAGATTTCTTAGTTTTATGACTATTGTGCCTTGATTCAACAGAAACTTAGCTCAAGATTAATTCTGATGCTTGCTAATCAAGTGGTAATGATAAAAGTTTAATGTACATATTGAATTATAGATGGTAACAGACCTTGTCTTAGGTTGCCTTTGATGTGATGGAGGATACCAAAGCTTACAGCTCAAATTCAGTAATTATCTCTAAATTGGTGGGATTAATAGTGATTCTGTGATGTAACAGGGTTGATAGGCCTTTTATGTATAAATATAAAAGTTTTATTTTCTAGAGTGATAATGCCGTATTTATAAATATTTTGTTTATACTCTTCGCTAATTGTGTTTAGGATACTTTGCATAAGAACATCACGTCCCACTAACTTGCCCAGATCGTTCATCTTGCTGGTCATGTCCTCCTGCTAGAGAATTGAGGTATCTGGGCAAGTTATGAATTAGCTTTTAGGTATTGTATTCCAAATCAGATTATAGAAACTAACACACACAATGGATTTATATTTGATGTTTTAATTGAACAATATATTTACAGAGTCAGATTAAACAGTATGTGGACAAAGAAAGTTCTTGAATGCTCTAAATGTCATACAATATGCAAAAAAGTGGGAAATCTGAATATTGCTCTCTGAGGAAGTCTTATTGCAAATTAAATTACTTCTTACACCTGTAAATACTATAAAGACAAGCAACATATAATATTACAAAATATTGAGTCACTTTACAACCAGGCATACCAACAATTCTGAGATGACAAAGACCCATATTGCTTATTCTGAAATCTGTCGTGACTAGCTGTTCCATAACTCTTTTTGCCGACTGTGCAATATTGAATTAAGGGTTGTCTTTTACATGTATATTTAATGTCAAACAATATTTATTCAGTACAGTATAGGAAATTCTTTATATACTAGTGTTGTTACATGTAGTGCCATTGATGATATATACAGTATTTATTTAGTCATACATTTCTCAACATTCCCCTTTTTTCTGTTTTATTCCTTACAGTTTGTTTTTTCATTGAGAGGTTGTTTAAAATGTTTGTTTACATTTAGAACCTGTTGTACTGTATTAAGGAGTTGATAGATGTGTTGGTGGTTTAGCAGTGTTTTGATGTACAGTATTGTATAGCACTGATAGATAATGTACTGTACTAGAAATGTAGAGAGAGGTTGGTGGTACAGTATCAAGATGTGAGCACTGGTGTGTAAGAATAGGAAATCTGGTGGAACATTAATGTAGTGGTAGAATGTAAGCCATTTAGTTGGATATTTTTACTTACTGTTGAATGCTTGTAGAAAGTGCATCAATGAACTGAATTGCCAGTACTGTACAGTAGTTAAGGTGGACTTTTAAGTTGCCTATTTTTGTGTGATAGTAGATTATGGGTTCAATAGTGGTATTGGTTATTGTGTAGGAAATTAAAATGGACTTTTGACTCAGTGGGTCAAACAGTGATACCATGGTAAAGTGGACAGTAAAGTGTAAGCATATTAAATTAATTTTTGAAGATGTAAATACTGTAGTTGAAAGTTGAATCAGGGAAACCCTACCTATTGAAGATGAGATTGATTAAAACTGTATTTTTATACTTGCATGGAAGCTGTTATTGTAAATGGCTGGGGAATTTTCTTTTTGTAAGTGGTAACTCCAAGTGTATATTACCTTATTGTTAGAATGATTAATTCCTGATCATATGGTATGTATTACAGTATCTCGTTGTAGTGGACCAAACTGAGAATCCTCCTAAGGCTTTCTTTTGCTTTAATTGGTAACTATTATAAGATAAATAATGTACCAGGAGTACTGTGCAGCTAAACTAAATTTATGTCATAGAAAAAGTGCTGTGAAGTGAATGGCAGCATAGGTACAGAAGCAAATATTGGCTGTGAAGAGTGAGACTTGGACACTGAAATCCTGAAATTCTGAAATTTTATTGTTTGTTATTACAGTATACTGTAACTCTCATTATACATCTATTGCTCTATACACTACTAAGTTTTACTGGAACTTCTCTCCAATTGTTTATGGGAAAGTAAGGATTTTGGTCATCCTATGTACATAATGGGAGGGTGCATCATTAACATATTATACTGTATATGGGAATTAGTGTACTACTTTGACTTAAGTTATCCCATGTTGGGTGATACCATTAGTGAATCTATTGAAAATTCCTTTTATAATTGCATGGTGATATATTTCTAGTATTTTGGTTAGAGTTCTCCAGAGATTACACATTCCAAGTTTAATTTTCCATTTTACGGTAGCGGTCGTTTGTTTATGGTGTAAACAATTTGGGTTAGCACAAACTTTTAAAATTATATGTAAATATGAGTATATTACAGTTGTGGATATATATTCATCTTGTATACTGTATATGTAGTTGGTCATCCAGTAGTTTTGGCCATTATAGATGAATGTTCTATTTTATATTTATGATTATGCCTTATCAGGTGCTTATAGTATTCAGGTTGTGCCTGTATCAGTTTAGACAGTGATTATAGCTATCCCTTTTATTATGAGTTTAGATTTAAATTCACACACACACACACACACACACACACCCACCCACCCACACACTGTTGTACTCTAGATTTATTACTTTTTTATCATATGTTTTGTATATCAACACAAGTTTTCTTATATAATTGGTTACAGTGATATTATAATCTCTACAATTCATAACTCCATAATTTGTAATAATTATTAAAGTATTTTTGGAAATTCCAAATCTCAATCTTTATTTCAACCTTTTCCTGATCATAGTAAATAAGTTATGAAGTGGCTACTTAGATGTGTAGCATTCCATTGACCAGGAGCTATTGGAGGCAGCAGCTGTCAGTAAGCTCAGGTAGTCTGTAGAAACAAGCAGACGATCCAGCACTCTGACATGGTATTTTGAATTTTGTTCATGTTGAAAGCCTTAAAGTGTTTCTTAATGTCTTCCAGTGGATATCTTCAAAAGTTTGCTGATTGCTTGAAAAGTGTTGTGTAGGATTGAGAGTGGTGGCTCATTACACAAGATTGACAATGAGTTCAAGGTAAGCCAAGTACATTTTATTACATCAAGAAGAGTACCGGGTAAGGATAAATTGTGTGGTTATGCAATGAATCGTGAGGCTCTAGGAGAAGTAGTGTTTAAGTATCACTCTGGTTTTGTACTAACATTATATAAATCTTGACAATTAGTAATGTATTCTTGTATTGGCCTTAAGATGTTCTTTTTCTATTCCAATACAGTATTTTGTCTCAAAGATTTATGGGTACAGTATCATCCTCATAAATGTCTTCCATACCTTATACTTAAAGTGTGCCAGTAAGGTTTTTTGTGGTTGGCAAAATTTCTGGAACACCTAAATTGCACTAATACGGTACAGTAGTTGATAGAAATTCATCTACAGTACATCGTATGTTCACGTTACTGTCAAAGTTGTATGTAATTGATCACAATTTGGAAATTACCTTATTTTGACGCGGGTTGAATCCCTATTATTATGTATTATGGAGGTTTTACTGTAACTGAAATAATATTTAGTTCTTTTGTTAAATGAAAGTTCATGCACAAAATAGTTAATTATACTCGTGAATCGGCTACTTGTGCAATTAACCAGGCCGTTCACATATATTTATTATTTGGGTTTAAGTAACGAAACCCAAACAGTAGTTCCTTGTTTATTACAAAAGGATTGTATATATAATTCCTGAGTGTAGATCGACCGTAAGTTCCACTGTATAGGAGTGAATGAGAAAGGGACGGCGTTTATGTATTATAAACGTTAGGTCACGTCCTTACAATATAACTTTCTGTGAGCGACTAAGGAGTAAGGGCCTCGCTGTGCGGGCTTACAGATATGCTGACGATGGGTCTCTACCCTCCTGGGAGAGTTGCCCTCTCACGTGTACAACTCATGTCTTACTCATAGACAGTGGAAAGTTACAGGGTGGTGAATCTTAATATAATATCAGATGTATTGACCCATATATATAATATGTTCTGTTGATGAGACAGGGGCCCATTACACTCGTACATTAAGTGTTGGTACAGTATTTCTTTTGTGTATAAGTTTTTACATAGAAATAATGAAATAAAACTACAGAAAATTAAGCTAGTTTTGAATTAACAGGTACTGTACAGGCACTTTTAGGACAAGGCAAAAATGGGACACACGAACTACAGGACTTGTAGTGTAGGCAACGTCTAAAAATTTTACTGCTTTATGGGCTTTGGTACAAGGCTCTTGTCCTTAAGCAAATAAGTTGTTTTATTCGTTCATGTTCTGAGTGTCTCATGTTATATATCCAACACTCAAAACATATTTCTACACATGATCATGACGCTCATTTCACACTCAAGGTATACATTCTAACACAAACTCAAGACACACTAATCCTAGTCACTTAATACAACAACTATATCACACTTTTAAGACACTCACGATGCACTTACAGTATATCATGCATTTCACATAAATTCAACACCAAGATAACACACTCGAGACGCTCACATAATACACTTGAGACACATAACACACTCAAGAAAAACCCACATTACACACTCAAGGGGTAAATAACACCATGATACATAAAAACTGCACACTTGTGCTTAATTTACATACAGTAGTTCCAAAGAAGTCTTGAACTGAAGTGACCAAGCACCAGCTTAACAGAACCAAGGTCATAAATTACATCTGTGGACTGGTAAAAAGTTATACTACTGAGACAGTCAGCCAGTAAGAATTGATCTATAAGAGTGGACTATTTTAAGTATAAAATTCATAAAAATTGCTTTACACTCACACGTGTGAAAGTAAACCAACTTATTCATAAATAATATTTTTTTTTTTACGGGAATTAGCCCACCCGGGCACAGGTCAAACGACCCACAACAGGGCCTGGGGGACGAAAAAAAATGAAAATAGAGAACAAAAAGGTTATATTGCGTTAATCTACACCACGAAGATGCCGGAAAACCAGCCTTTTAAAGTGAGACATTGTATAGGGTAAGTGTGGAAACACAGAAGAAGGCAGAGCATTCCACAGTTTGGCTGTGTGAGGAAAGAAGGAGGTACTATAACGGGTTATTCTCGTGTGACCGACATCCATAGAGAAATGGTGGGCACCGCGGGCAAGACGTGTGTTACGAGCCCACGGCCTTACCGGCGGTACACTGGATGCCAAATCCACCGAACATTGCCCGTTAGAGAAAGGGAAGAAAGATTATCAACTAAGGGAGGAGAGTTAAAAAGATAAAATGCCTTTGATTCCACCCTAACACCCCAGATATGAGAGCAGTACTCCAAGTTAGGACGAATGAATCCCTTATAAACTTGGAGCAACTGCTCAGGAGTGAAGTAGCTACGGCATCTGTACAGCATTCCCAACTTTCGGGAGGCAGCTTTAGCTATACTATGAGGAAAAACATACTATTAGACAATATATGTGAGATAAATGACACATCCATGATGTCCTTATTACAAGAGATTCAAGAATGAGACATGCATGAGGCATCAACTAGTCTCCTCTTAAGCAAAAGGTCAATAAAAGTACCTCCCCGGCGGGGAATCGAACCCCGGTCTCCCGCGTGACAGGCGGGGATACTCACCACTATACTACCGAGGAATGGGTAAAGTTATATGGCACGTTTATAAGCAGGTCAATATACCCGGGTTATCATAATTATATAATTTAGGATAGTGAGGATCTTATATAGTGCACTAACATGTAGTAACCATTTTTGTATTAAGGATGACGTCTACAAACATGGTTACTACATGCTAGTGCACTATAGAAAGTCATTATTGTCTTATACTACATAGTTATAATAACCCGGGTATATTGACCTACCTATAAACGCGCCCTATGATCTTACCCATTCCTCGGTAGTATAGTGGTGAGTATCCCCGCCTGTCACGCGGGAGACCGGGGTTCGATTCCCCGCCGGGGAGGTACTTTTATTGACCTTTTGCTTAAGGGGAGACTAGTAGACGCCTCATCATTGTATCTTTTATGTGTTTGCTCTTTTAACTAGGACATCGGAAACCTCACTTCTCCAGTGAATGAACTAAATCAGGTTGTAAAGTCACAGTTAATGGAAATGCTCGACTGCTAATTTGCTTTCAGTACAATGTCAAGGTTTCAGCCCATTACAGTTGAGTGAAGTAATTACAAAAACTTGGCTTTCTCTCGTGCCGGTGTCCAAATTTTAAACATACCTAATTGATCTAGGATCGAGTTTCTGGGCGACCAATTGTTGTGTCCTTACCTGGAGCTGGCGGACGCTCGCCCCACAAGGTGTCACAGCTCTAGGTTGAAGCCGCGGGTCCAGAAAACTGTGAGGGTAAACTTTTTCGGAGTGAGAGTTGTGAACTCTCGGAACAATCTGCCAGAGAATGTTGTGACGGCATCGAGTGTGAGCTCTTTCAAGACCAGACTTGACCAACACTGGAGCAGGTTCAGGTACATTCAGGAGCCGGTGCATGCCCAGTACTTGCCAACAGTGTGTAACAGAGACGTGACCGGCTAACAAGCGGCTAACAAGCGCCTAACAAGCCAATCAGTGGTGAAGAGGATAAAAGGAAGTTGAGAATTGTTGTCCAGGCGGGCGAGACTGCAATATTTAAATGCAACTTGTCAATGATGATGTCAGGTGGGACACACACACAACAAAGGCTGACTGGGACTACACTTCCAGGATCAATGAGTCAAACACCAATTTGGGCAGTTAAAGACCGACGTTGTCCAAGTCACCAGCACAAAACAATCGTCACTGCACCTCAGTGTTGATCAAAATGTGGCAGGAGGAAGACCTGGTCATTTGGGAATCGGTTTTTATAGTGTTAATAGTCAAGTCCGCTGAACTCTAACATCTAAATGAAGGTTAGTGACAGGTGAATGTTTTAGTGAACTGATGTTATTTAAAATGTTTATTTTTGTTATAATATTTGTCCTTTTTATTCTATGGTAATAATTTACTGTACAGTAGGCCTACTTTCTTTTCGTACCTCAACTACAGTAGTGCCTTTGTGAACGTTTATTTTAAAAGTTGTTGGTCGAGGCAGCATCTGTCCTGGATTCTGGGAGGGGATGGCAACTACTGCGCTATCCCTAATTATCGGGGCAGGTCAATATACCCGGGTTATTATAATTATATAGTTTAGGATAGTGATGACCTTCTATAGTGCAATAACATGTAATAACCATTTTTGTATAAAGGATGACGTCTACAAACATGGTTACTACATGCTAGTGCGCTATAGAAAGTCATCATTGTTCTATACTACATAGTTATAATAACCCGGGTATATTGACCTGCTTATAAGCGTGCCTTGTCACTGTACTCATTCCTCGGTAGTATAGTGGTAAGTATCCCCTCCTGACGTGCGGGATACCGGGGTTCGATTCCCTGCCGGTCGATTCCCCGCCGGGGAGGTACTTCTATTGACCTTTCAGTTAAGGGGAGACTAGTTAACGCCTCATGCATGTGTGTGGTCAGGGCTTGACTTGTTTGAAACTGTGACTGTTGTCAGTACGGAGCGTACTTATTCGTGGTATAATCATCATCTGCTATCATCATTGCCTATCTTAAACATCATCATCTACTATAATCATATCATCAACACCTGCCATAATCATCATCATCATCATCGTCATCAGTCAGGTAAGATTAAGGGGGTGACTCACAGGTAATGAAGTAATTTAAGTGTAAAATTTTCATCACGCACTTTGATTTTTTTGGTGGATGAGTTGACATTTCGTGATAGGTTGGTCGTCGCCTGCTTCCGTCTCTCTGTCGCCTCCTCCCGTCTGTCTGTCACCTTCTCCCGTGTCTTTTGTCACCTCCCGTCTCTGTCACCTCCTCCCGTCTCTGCCATCTCCTCCCGCCCTCCTCTCCGCTTCCCTAGCCACACCCACCCTCAGGCAGGTGGCGGCAGGTATGCACCTCAGTGGTGACGTCACACTCTTGGGTAGATTAACCTTTGTGAAAGTTACCCGAAGCTCTCTTGTCTTCCTTGTGCATCTGTCACTTTTATTTATGCATACACTTGGACAAATACAAAAATACATACATATATGTCACAAATGCACATAAACACACTTCACATACACATGCACACAAGTCACATACACATGCACACATACACACAGTCATAAAATGTGTATTGTTGGTTCTCAGTACATTCATGTAATACTATTTTATTCTTTCTTGACCCAGAGTTTCTCCCCTTACCTACCCTGCAAATGGTCAAAAAGTACCTCCCCGGCGGGGAATCGAACCCCGGTCTCCCGCGTGACAGGCGGGGATACTCACCACTATACTACCGAGGAATGGGTAAAGTCATATGGCACGTTTATAAGTAGGTCAATATACCCGGGTTATCATAATTATATAGTTTAGGATAGTGAGGATCTTCTATAGTGCACTAACATGTAGTAACCATTTTTGTATTAAGGATGACGTCTACAAACATGGTTACTACATGCTAGTGCACTATAGAAAGTCATTATTGTCTTATACTACATAGTTATAATAACCCGGGTATATTGACCTAACTATAAACGCGCCCTATGATCTTACCCATTCCTCGGTAGTATAGTGGTGAGTATCCCCGCCTGTCACGCGGGAGACCGGGGTTCGATTCCCCGCCGGGGAGGTAATTTTATTTACTTTTTAGACAATGAGATAAACGACTGAGGGCTGTTCTATGTAAATATAAATTAATACTTTGAATATATGGAGGGATAATCTCTCAATTTTTTATTCACTTTTGCTGAGGGAAATAATTATTATCAAACACTAACATGTGTTCTTCAACCTCCTCGGTGACAAGGCAACATTCAATATAAGATTAATAAAATTTTTCTTGTATCACATTAGTGGAATATGAGACCAAGTATGGCTGAAAACAATAGCTGTTTGGAACTTTATTTGACAATACAACAAAAATGTGTTCCATTAAGACATTATTATATTCTTTGTGATGGTACAATTGGTCTCCTTTAATGCTCTCTAAAGACCAGCAAATACTAAATAAAGTGAAGCAAATTAACCCCCTGAATACGATGACAATCCTTAAAACACCAAGTCCTCAAAATATTACATTACTTGTTATAAATTCACAACTTAACACTTGCACCAACCTAGTTACTATACAACAGGTCGTGCTGGAAAATATGTAACACAAGTTATGGGGTAACTAAGATGAACGTAGTAGCACTGCGTCAGCAACTTCAGGTTGATCACTGCAGCACTTGCAGCACCAGTTCTAGGATGAAGACAACAATACTGGCTGCCCAGCTGAGGAGGAGGATGAAGAAGACTCCCTGTAGGTGTTGGAGGCTCAGTGGCTGCTTGTTATTGAGCTGTTCCTTGGCAGCCAGACGCTCCCGACGCTCGTAGTCCTGGCCCATGAAGTCTTCTGTTGTTTCCTGGAGAAGTTTCATTAATAGATAATCACAAAATTAACCGCTTGTCCTAAGCAATTCAAACTAACAGAAGCGCCATATTATCATGTAACAGTCACCTGGAAATGATTTTCCTTGTTATCTACCTTTGAGTACCAAGTCCTTCACTGTAGCACCACGAGTAGGAAAAGCTCATTTACAACAGTGTATTGGTTTGTTTCCTTGTTTGTTTTTGCAAGTACATTAAATATATAAATGCAAACAAACCTGCAAACACACACACACAATTGCATATATTATAAATGCAAATTACCTTGTGCCAGCGAGTGACAAGTCCGGCCTCCACCAAGTGCTGGATGCATAGGTCGAACTTATACTTCCATGGTGTGTTCTTCTGGAAGAGCCAACTAAAATAACTAGCATACAACTGATCCTTCAACATATATGAGTTGCTCACCTGCAAAGAGTACAAGTAATTGGATTTGTTACTAAAATTTTTCGTGACGTTTCTTGAACGTTACAAATGAAGCCACTCGTTACGTCCTTCTTCGTATGACAAAATATTTGGGTTCCCGTTCATCCATTCACTTAAATCTAGTCGGCACACAATAGGCAGGAGTATAGTAGAAGTGCAAGGCACACTGTATTTAGTTTTAACGTTGACCGTTACCAAAGGCACTAAAAACTTGCCGTGTGTTACCTCAATGATCCAGTGAATACAACTCTAGTCTTTTAAGAAGCTTGCCGTACATATTCTTACTGTCCTCAGTGAGATAAAAATACTGTTCATAATACAAATGGTTTAGCACATAAGAATTTTATGGGTTTTGTACATGCTCCATTGCTGCTTACCTTGGTAATGGATTTTGTGACGATGCGGTTGTAGGAGTATAGTTCGAGGAGGGCATGGGTACGGTTCGACATAAGATACACAGCATCGTCGTACAACTTGACCAGATCCATCTTCTCCCCAAGAGTGCGATAAACCGGCGTCTTGGACGATCTCAGCGCCTCTGGTACAAATTCCCCATAATCATGCATGGACACCCTGGAAGAGTGATCGCATTCAGTGGGATATTGTTGATACTCTAGGCCAAGTAGTGGGTAGTTTGGACACTAGGCAGTACCTGTAGTCACTCTGGGCCAGCTCTTCTAATGTCTGGATGCGCTTGGGAAACACAGGGATGGTGAGGAAGGCGATGAGGTTGGCGGTGTAGGCGGTGGTGAGGATGAAGCAGTAGACCCACCAGACGCCCACCAACACACGCTGCCACTGAGCTGTCGGCAGCCCCGGCAAGGTGTGTTTCACTACCGCCCTTAGGAGATATAACCATGTCCGTCCAAACCCTCCTAGGAACGGCTCCGGCTGTATCCAGTCCTGGAAACACATCAAAATGTATATCGCAAAATGGTTACACATTTATGTTACAGTAATATATCATCATCCTCTCTCTGTATAAACGCGTACCAGGAAATTAAAAATTTGTACCACTAAGGATAACCTTCTATGGTATACAGTATATCGATTAGAATTTTGTCCATATTATGTGCATATTACTGTATATATTACCCGTACTATGTATACACTATAACCATTTCAACCCACTTTGAACCCCAGGTCACTAAGGAGTCAGGGGGTCTGATGACAGTCATCTGTTTACTTATTTGTCTACTCTCGATTCCTCCCAAATGAAGATAATTAACACTAGGCAACCCAATAATGTCTGACTCCCCAGATCTGGAACTGTGCCTCGCTAATGTTACATCGGTTGGAAAGCCTTAATTTACATGAAGAATTGTCCACTTGGCCGAAGGAGCCTCCACAATTCACCATTTTTATATTGTAGCAGTCATGGTGCCATTCAGCATCCTGAAAAAGTTTGACTTTATCATAAACCCAAGTTCAAAGAAGTTTAAATATATTATGTAAAGCTTTCCATTGATTTTAACAAAAGCTTACCTGTAGCGCCATAGTAAGGACGACCACAGCGAAGGTGGCACCAATTGTGATCCATACAGAGGGCATAAAGGGGTAATAGGTGGCTTGCCACTTAGCCAACGGTGCTGGGGTCATCATATTCAACCCAAATCCTTCAGTCCAGTACCAGACGCCAGCGTCAAAATCTTCAATGCGATTTGCAGTGAGAGGCATGGTACTCACTGTAAAGTTCTTCTCATGGCGATGAACCATTCCAAGCATACCAGTCCATGAACCATTGACCAGGGATCCCCAGGCACCATCTGGAGGCTCCACTGTCAACGTGTAGTTAAAGTCGAGGACCTCAGCGATGGTGTCCAACATTTTGACAGTAATGCCATCACCTGTTCCTACTGGTGCATTTTCCTTTTGATAAAGAAATGGAATATCATCAAACCAAGTTGCAAGATGAAACTTATAATCCTCGAATGAAGGAAACCGATCCACGAAAATATTTTCTATTTTAGAATAAATGCTAGAGTTCCATGTTCCTATTAGAATCATCTTTTCATCTTTTGAAAAAGGAAACGATGTAGATACTCTTGCTGTTGGGGTCATTTCAGAGGATCTTGGTGAGAACCTTTCAATCAAAACCAGATTTTGGCTCCTTTGGAATGCATTACCTAGAAGAATATTTTGAAAAGTTTTGTTGGCTAAACTGAAGAGCATAAGATATTTGGGGTTCCATTGGAGAGAGATGGTGTCAAAATATGGTCGGGGATCTTCCTTAAACACAACAATATGGATGACACGGGCTCCACGGAGCACCGGGGCAGGCTGGTCCTTGGACCACAAATCCACGTCGGAGCCCAGGTCAACCAGGACATGAGGAGAATCCTGGAAGGCTGGGAAGGTAAGCAGCTGGTCTAGGACCTGGACTTCCAGATCAGGGTCCAGGTACAGGACGACGCCCCAGCCTGCCAGGGGACCTTGCAACATCTCCTCCAACACTTTAAGATAATGCACAGTGTTCGGCATGGTCTGAGTTGTGATAGACAAAACTGGATAAAAACTTTGAATTGCCAACATAAGCAAAGACACAGGCACTACCAAGAGTGTTGTCTTAGCCATCTTCCCGACACCAAGGGCGAAATACTTCTCAAAAGAAGACCAGTCGCAGTCATTCCCCCTCTCTTATATAATCCAGGTGCTGTAATATCTTGAGAAATTTGATTACGAAAAACTCTTTTTCTTGTTTTCCTTTTTTTCATTTTAACGACAAAACCTCGTGCAGTTAATAGTCCAGTCACGATAACACTTAGTCAGTTAATCAGATAGACATTTTATAACAAAATACACATGTGATGTCACGAGAACTCTGACACCCTTAGAATGAATTATTCTTAAACTGAGGTTTTTTTTTTAAAGTTCATAATCCTTTCTTCCCCCGAAAATGCTTTACTTTCAGTTTTTTTCAGTACCATATACCTGTATTGGAATCGCTTATCTGTTGGGACGCACAAGGAAACAGTAGAGGAATGAGTTTAAGACAGATTCATCCAGAATTATATTTAGAACATAAATTGGTGAGTAAATACATACACAAAATTAATTTGACTACAGTCGCAACTGGGGTGTACAGTCTGTCTAGTAAAAATTTTCGTAATCCCACGTTTTGCTGCACGTTCAGTTTTCTCAGAAATTAAGGATAACTTGTATTGAAAGCTACAAAATATACTTAAAAAGATGAATCTGTTTTAAGTAAGACCATGGCCAACTTCTCCAAGTTTCTATTATAAGACACTTTACCTGTAAGGGTTTACTCTGCTGAAATTTTCTACCGAGTGTACGGGAGTGATGAAATCACAATAAGTACAGTACCACAACATTTTCATCCATTTTTAAATACTGAATTAACTTCGAGGCAATATTGTACTTCAATCTAACAATGGCATAATGATAAAAGAGACTTAGTTTAACAACTTTATTGGCAAAGTTTAGAGTAAACTTGCCTATTCTGAGTAATTCAGTCAGGTCTTGACACTGAGAGTGCAATCACTTTTCACTGCCACACAGGACAGAGGTTCATACAAAAAGAGGATAATAGTACTGTATAGGTCATATTCAATAATAGTAAAGAAGATTCAAGAGGGTGCTATCACTGTTCACTGCCACGCAGGACAGTGGTTCATATGCAATGTAAGTCATTCTATTTGAGGACTAATCAGTGTGGGCTGGCAAATTTAGGATACAAGAGAGGTGTTTGACCTTACAACATACGGTACATATTAGAAAAATCAAACAATCAAAACATCCTCAATGATCAATCCAATCTTCTTTTCTATAAGTCAACATGAACACAGAGACAGTTGTGACTTATCATGATGCACTGCTCATGATATCAAATATTCTAAAAATTTAAAATCAAATTTATGGAGCGGTGATGAGAAGTTCAGCCAACCTTTTTAGACATGCACCCAGTAAAAATCATCGATAATTGGCTATCATCATAGTGTAAAACTAATTTCTTCAATCATCTACTGTTGAAATATTCATTACCTCTAATTATGAGGGGACACAAAGTTTGACATAAAATAAGATTGAATTGTTGGTCTTTTTATGTGTTATTTGTAGCAGTGTGCCATGTAAAAAAAGGACATCCAGTATATACCTATACTCATTTAAGATCAGTTACGACAAGAATATGAACAGTACCATAACGACGTAAAGAAATAAAAGAAACATTTTATTGAGTACTGAACAGTATGTTAAAATCATGAGTATATTTTTAATTAATACAGTGCATAAAGTAGTTTAAAATGTCCCACCAGTGATAAATTAGTAGCAGATTCCCAATGTTACACGAATAAAGTAAAACTGTATACTGTATACAATCCTCATAATGTCAGTAATCTTGTTTCTTTAAAGTAAAGTTTGCTTCTTCCCTAGACTGTATCCCTCTTAGCTTTTGTGATAATAACTATTGTATCATTACTAATCTGCAATAGACACTTAGAGACCTTAGTTGTTGTAGTGCAGTAATACATTATAACAGCATCAGCATTCCTTAGAGTCGAAAAGAACAAAAATTAATTAAAAAAACCCACCTCATAATTATGAACACTAAATTGACAAGTGATACAGAACCACCAAACCCTGACAGTTAATGAAGCCATTGATCTAAATAATCATAATAAAACTAATTAACAAGAGAAACGTTAAGTGGCACTGATGAACTTGATTTTTGTAAGTTTGTGTATTATTTTTAATCACAACAAACTTTGTAAAGATTGGGAATATGAAATGGCCGGACACTAAAGGAAGTGGACACATGCCAAACCAACTGTAGACCTGTAGATGGGCAAGAGGTGACCTATTTGAAGTTTATAAACATCTCATGGGGCACTACACAATAGAGTGTCCATTCCTGGAGCTGTCAGACGCCTGTCCCACTAGAGGTCCTGGCTCAAGCCACAAGTCCAGAAAACTGTGAGGGCAAATTTGTAACACATGACTAATTGGCTCTGTGGCAACGATAATTCAATTAAATTTCCAATATGGTACATCTTTTCAAATAGGTAAAGAGTAGATAATGTACTTAGGAGATTTATTTCACAAAAATTACAATATAGTATTAACAAAATCTAAAGGTGATGTATTAGGTACAGGGAGGAGGTGCAAGGGAAAAATAAGGGTAGAGGGATGATGATTGGAATTTGTGTCTGACATTAAACATACAAGTTAACTAGGGTCTGATAGTTTTCACTGTGGTTGAAGAGGGGTTGGTCTTAGTCCTGATGCAGCTGTGGTGTTGTTGGCCTCCATCCACATGGTATAGTTGACCTCAGTTTTCACATACAGTACTCCCAGTTTCCTTGCATCACATCTTACAAGTTCAACCTGTACTTACATATACAGTTTTTCACAATTCTAAATTACTGACAATAGGTTTTATTAGGGTCTTTATTCTTTCATCCAAAATACTCAGTTATATATTCCTTCATAGTCACATACAGTAACAGTTGGGTCTATTAAAAAAAAAATCTCAGTTATTGCATTAATTATTTTGGGGAATTTGGGATAAAGAATCCTTGACCTGTACACATAACACTCAATAGCAGTTCACAAAATGGGAGCACCAGAAAGGGTTGGCAAAAATATACTGGAAAATTAAATATTCTAATTTCTAATTGTCACATATGTAATCATTAAACAGCTTCAGTTAAAATATTAATTATCTTCCCCTTCCAAGCATTAACTTTGTCTTCAGAACTTTAGGGACATGTCTTATAGTGAGTGAAATTCTAGTTTCTCTTGTCAAAACTTCCCCAAGCTTGGGTTTACACTCTTCAAAATTAAACATATCTTGGGACACAGTATCTTGAGTAACTTGACTGATGCCATGTAAGTATGTAGTATACAAATCTTCCTGAATAATGAGTAGACTTCGAGGTTCTAAGAGGAGGGAGCCGATATGTCGCATGGAAAGGTTCTGATTGTTTTCCATCTCTTCATTTGAATTCAAAGGAGTATAAAACTCTAGTACTGAATGACTCCCTACGTTGATGGTAGTGATGGTGGGGTAGAACATGGGGCCATCTACGTGAGGCTGAAAGAAAACCATTGATTACACTCATAATACACTGGATTGTTCCAAGGTAATTCAAACACAAAATTACACAATATGCTAACCTTTAACTTATGAAACTTGGTGCTAATGTTCAAAATACAGGTAACCATATAGTCACCATCATACTCTACGTTAAAACAGCTACCACTACAATACCCTAAATAAATATGAATAATGCATTTAGCTGCCAAAACAACTGAAGGTGTTGAACTTAAGGCCCACTTGTATGCATGTATAGTAGTGTGGCAGCATAGGCTCATTCCCTTTGGTCAGGGGCTCTAGTTGAACTGGGAGAGGTCATATCTCTGGGGTTTACTCACAAGCTTCTTGACACAGTACTGTATATCAGTTGCCTCACCAACAGCATCACTTATGAGAACTGATTTTAAAATTACTTTCTCAAGTGAAACCTAAATACAAGCAAGCCCTTATGATATTGGGCTAGTTGTACAAGGTCCAACAGAAACTCTCATTATCACCCTTTCAACCCCATGGATGTAATTCATACACTTAGAACCAGAGTGTTAAGGACATATGAGATATTGTATACTGCACAGTATCTTGATTTATCCCACCCCATTTTAAATATCTTGGAACAGCCATGAGCCAAATAAGTACGTCATGTCACCAACAGCAATAATTCACCCACAGAAATTTCACATCTGCTTAGTTATCCTACAAACACTCTGGTGGAAGGATGTTTATCAGAATACTCATCCGGCAACCTTGGGAATGATACCTATGTATCTGGTAGATGTAAAAATAAAATTGTGGGTGATATAAAAAGAAGTAGATGCAGTTATGATGAAAAGTATAGTCAATTCCACCCAATTCAAATGGCTTACTACACCACAACTTTAGGAGACATATTTATATAAATAATAAATTTAAAAAAGGGAAAGCAATTACAGTATTAATATTTTTATTTTGAAACTAACATAGTGTAAGTTAAGTCATTTAAGACATACTGTACCATAATTCCTTGGCCAGGAAGGTACTCATTCACAAGTACATGGTTTGCTTTCTTGTCTCCAAATGCACCAAGAGCTGTAATCTTGTCCATCTGTTCTTGTAACCACTGTGAAAAAGCAAACAATTTAATGAATAGCAATAACTTGGTAAATACGAATTATGGTATATAAAATGAAATAATTTTTTAGAAGAAATCATATAATCTGGAAAATAAACTGAAATATCTAAGATAATGTGATCGTGTAAAATGAATAACATACAAATAGCACTGAAGCATAAAATACTATTTTATGGCTGAAGGAAAGTGTCAATTGACTTGCAAAATCTCCCACAAAAACACCACATATCAGAGCCTCCTTTGCCCATTAATAAAAAGGTCGCATAAACAGTTTTTCACCCAGCTGAACCCAAGTTTATGAAGCAAGTGCTGACCTATGGTTGCTTAAAAAGATTGAGCCAACAAGTACAGTATACCAAAAGAAATCCGAAACTAGTCAACTTAACATGATTCTCTGACATTAAGTAACTCATTACTTAAATTATTATGCTACTCGGCACCATCATATCTCGTGGTCGGGTCACCTGGTAAGGTAGTCAGTCACCTTCAGCGGCCACCAGGTTTATATGAGAAAGTGTGGAATTTGGCAGTGGAAAAAAGTTTGGAGGCATGGATATTGTTGGTAATGCATGAAAGTAAGTGTAATCAGTTGAATGATGGCTATGTTTGTGCCATGCAAATAGGGCAGTGGGAATTTAGGATAATGCAATAAGTTATTAGGGGTTAAGCGTGGGAAAATTTTCCGTAGAGAACATAACCTCCAATCAAAAAATGGAAACAATGTACAGTATTACAGTACTGTACTAATATATTTATTATATATGTTGGCTTTGCGTTTGAGATTGTTCACGTTGTTTCAAATGTCATCCGTTTTCTCAATAAGTACTGTACAGGTACGGGATATAATATTATTACCATACTGTACTGTACTGTAGTATATGTATTTCATGTATTATGTTTATTATAGTCTTTTAATAATTATGTACAACAAATATTGTCATTAAAAACATGTTTTGTGGCACTTTAAATGTCCACATACACATGCATACACATCAAATTCTGTACTTACTGAAGGAATAGCCTCAGCAATCATTCCTTTAGGGTGTGGTAACCCTCCCCAATTCTGGAGTCTTCTGTGTGCTAATTCCTTCCACTTGGCTTTGGAGCTGCATAAATGTGCTGTGTAATACGGTCCTCTTCCTCTTGTGTAATAAAATTGGGGATGTAGTAAGCAGCAGTTGGAGCCTAAGGAAATGCATTACAAGTCAGATAATTAAGCAAAAATTGGTGGTACAGTACAGCCGTAGAATGCATGTCTCTCACCATTGCATCCTGGGTTCAGTCCCATATTGCATATTACAGGTTTCTCTAGGCACCACACTTTCCTCCTGTATAAACACCGACTCAGGTTGGGTGAGGGACACACTCACCAGGAACAAAAGTAATATTAAACAAGCTGCCACAGGTTTCCTTCCCTTGTATAGGTGATAAATTAAAAGCAAAGTAGTCAAAAATAAATAACTTCTCTAAGCTGACAGGTATAGCACTGCTGAAAGTATCACTATCAAACATCTTGAATATGTTTTAACAACTTTTATACTGTACATTGCACATGTTTTAGTTAATCACTTTCCTACTTTATTGATATTTTGCATATCACAGATATCATATTGAAGGTTTACTATACTGTACCTTCAATTACTATAATGTTAAAATGATGTTCGCTAAATATATAGAAAAAATTCACTACTGGTTGAAAAATACTCTACAGTATCGTATTATAAAAGTGAATAAGTATTAGATAAGACTGTGCCATCAGTTGTCCAAGTCACTGTTTACATTACTGTTGGTCTGTGCTTTAAGATATACTGTACTATACTCAGATCTCAGTTGCTATTCTTCACTGGCCTTTATCTCAGACACAACCCTGATATTAATGAGGACAACCTGTATTTATGGTGAACCACAGATAAAGATATAGTTATGATGATGAGTTAAATAAGAGATACTTATTATGAGGAGCCAGAGGTAAAATAAAGAAATATTTATGGTGAGCTTTATACTTACATTGTACACCCGATACTCCTTGAAGGATGTCATGGTGAGTGTTCTGTTCTGGTAGATATCTGATGGTAAAGGATGCCTTGAGTAATATCGATACTTTTAATTCTCAAGTCTACAAAGCTAACAAGTGGGTAAGAGTGAGACACAAATCCATACAGGTACTACAATGACACATACACATTACAGCACCAGCCTTTTCAGGAACACAATCCCTGGACAAAACTAGGACAATCTGTATTAATTTATTCATTACTCTATTATGTTTGTTAAATTTCATGACTATACAGTGCAACCTCTATTTAACGAACTATATGGAGAGGAAAGTCCGTTATATCGAGGGTCTGTTAGATGTGACGGACTATAATGGGGAGAGAAGTCCGTTTATAACAGACTTTCATCATTATTTACATAGTTCGGTAGGTTGAGGTTTCACGTCGAATGTACCCTTGATATAACGGACTTTCCTCTCCATATAGTCCGTTAATTAGAGGTATCACTGTATTCAGCGAAGAGGTGAGCCCGTACACAAGGGGTTAACAGGCACAAATCAAAGTAAAGTATAACGATTACTGCCCAAGCCTAAAGTTGATATTGTACAGTACTGTGATACCATTTGCAGCAATGCTCAGTGGCATGTAGATTAAGTTAGGTTTGTTATAATGTGGCAATTTTCTGTGGAGAACTGAGACATTTGTAACAGTGCCGTCAGCTGCCGAGAACAGTGAAAGAAACAATTTAACCCTAAAATAAAGTAAAATACTTGGCCTTACGTGTTTCAACCCCATATTTTCCCTCTTCTTTAAAGCCTAGTTCATTTTGTGGAGTATTAATATTGAAGGAGATATGGGCCATAAAAAACACCTCTAGAAAACCTTGTTGGGTCGTGGATCTGGTATTTTTTATATATTTCCCAACAAAATAATAAAAATGCAATTCCTTGTCATTATTTGCAATTTTCTCGAAGTAAAAAATGTCACCTTCAATACTGTATAATATTTGTAAGTTGGTGATTTACGTGCACAGGCATCTAATAATTTTACCTATAAGGTTTCATGTTAACAATAAAACAATTAAGAGTTGGCTCCAGATTGTGGTCCTAACCCAGGTCTACTACTGTTACATTATTTGGTACATGTTCAGGATATCCATCTTCATCTTCCACATAACATACACTTACGTGAAATTGTCTAATACTTCCATTAAATTGATAACATGTTTCCAAACCTCCTTCCTTGGTCCAGGTACAAGTTGACAGTCACGTAGGTTATTGTTAAATAGGTACCACGAACACAATACCGCCCCTATTTGTTATTTTTTTTAGTCAAAACTGCAAACCAAATACATTCGAGCACCACTCTAAGATTAATTAAATATTTTGATTTGTTTAGTTTTAATCATCGGTACTGAAGAGTATGGCTCAGCATAATTTTGTTGTGGTACATATTTAACATCATAAGCTGTGCCTTGTTTTTGTTTACAAAATACCAAGGGTCACACATATAAATATTATGCTGTATATAAAATAAGATATGTATATTATTTGAAGGAAATATGGAGATTAGAAGATATAAAACACAAGGGAATAAAGTTGGTTATTTTTTATTTCATTCTAAAGTAAATAATTCCTATAATTCCTGGCGGGCACAAGTGTACTATCAGGTGATCATCCAATACCAGCTAAACTACAGCTAAATTGCACCGTCCCAGCTAACTCGTGTACCCTGCTTTCTATATACAATGTCCCGACTAACTAGTGTACACTAATTTCATATAATGTATATATTTACAACATCTCAGGGATCTACATTACTTCGCTACCTATATCAGCCTATCAACCTTAATACGTTCCTAGTTACATGAGGCTGCTTAAATCTCTGGGTGAGGGAACACTATGTGGGGCGACCCGATCATTTCACCACTGCAAGATGTAATCTAAATGAAATTGACAAACATGGCGTCCAGCTTCACCCCTCTACGAGTTCTAAAACCTAAAGAGAACATTGGACTATTTACATTTGGATTATCCTAAAAGAACCACATCAGTGCATCTCCCACTACTACTAAGGTACCGTATATAAATTAACGAGCATGAGCACTAACAATGTACTCAAGTAGTTTAACAAACATGTAATAACACTGTACATCACACACAGACCAGCAGTACAATACATACTCCAGGTACTGTATCTCGTTAAGGCGTTTATTTTTGTGTATTTCAAGAATATGTTGATAGTTACAAGTTTATAAAGTACAGTGGTGAAGAGTTGCTCTTTTAGTACTAACACAAATTTGATATTAATAAAAAAAGGTTACGTAACACAGATTGGTTCTAGAAATGTAATCAGAATAGTGTAAACAGCTATAATTTATTATGGTTCAGAAAATCTTAAAAAAAAAATATATATGAACCAACACAATATCTAATGACAATGTCCTTAACAACTATATTTGGTTAGTAGCTTTCGTTGCTCTTATCTTCTCACTAATAAGTCATAAATTACAGAGAAAATATATAAAAATAAGATGTGTCTAATGATAAGAATTTGCAGCAATAACAAATGTACAGTAACAAGTAAACAAAGAGATCAAGGTTAGCTGAGTTTTGTGTAGTGACGTAACGTGTACAGGGGGGGGGGGAGTACATGTGATTCTGAGTGACGTAACGTGTACAGGGGAGTACATGTGATTCTGACTGACGTGTTACTTACGCAGCACTTGTGTGAAGGACTTACACATGTGCGTAAGAAGTTATAACACTGAAAGCTCGTCTGCCATCTACTAATATAATAGTATCAAGTATTAAAGCTGTCCAAAGCTATCGTTTCAGTACCCGGTAGAGTGTAATGTTTATATAAAGCTATTATGAAGGTATATTTCCTTAGAGAATCGTGAAAATTTCCTAAGTTATCGTTTATCACCAATCGAAGCTGTCGTTTAAAGCTACTGTTTAATATTGTCCATAGTTATCCTTAACATTTTCCAGTTATCGGCATCTAAGGTTTTTGTTTAATATCACAAATATCAACAAACATCACATCATTTTCTGCACCTACTGTGCAACAAAGATTTGATTTTAACAGTAATTTATTTCGTGTCAACTGTATTATTATAAGAAACAAAAGAACCAGGTAATAAATATGCATATACTGCGTTAATAATGAGATGGTGGACGTTATGAGTTGATGAGTGTTATGAAGTGATGAATGGTTACGATGTGATGACTTTGTTGATGTATCTCATCAATTTTGATAACTAAAACGTATTTTACATTATAACATCAACAATATATCATTGACATGTACCCACAGTCAAGCCTCTTTACTTCACTCCTCACTAACGCAGCTTATGAGTAGTTTAGGGTCAAATTTGTTTTATTACACATATCTTAAGCTTATAACTGACCCTACGTTACTGCGGTTGGAATTATTTTTTATTAATTAATTTTTCTTTTTCCCAGATAAACTCTTGGGCTTCCCACACCACGAGATGATGGTAAGTACTTGTGATATTATTTGTCTACACCATGAGTCTTGCTCACCCACGACCCTCGCTGCACTCCTTAAATATACGACTAACGAAACTTACTAGTTTATTGATATCAGGAACACCTCAGGACTTATCGTAGAAGTACTGACAAATCCTGAGTTTGTTCTTGTTAATTAAAGTAAGAGTTAAAATAGAATGTTTTTGTGGGGACGAAGGTGGGCGTTAAGTGTCCCCCGATAAAGTCCTGCTGCAAGGCTTACCGTGTGATGGTCTTAACAGTGGAGTAGCTGTGTATCTGGACGTCATTCAGTCACAATATGTACAATAGAGTATTAATAAACACTAACATCTTATACTAACATTATCTAAATAACTTAAACGGTAAAACAACATAAGCGAGTTCATAAATAAAGGTGCGGCGGCGTTGAAGCGGAGGTAGTTGTGGCTGAGGTGCGGAAACCATCATGCCTCCTTCTTCAGTAGAGAGTCTATGTTATATTCTGGGCGCTTGACGGTAAGCGACTCATCGTTGAGGGCGGGAGACTCCGGGGGCGTGTGGGTGGAGGGGACAGGACCCGGGGATGGCGTTGATCTGCCGGATAGATGGGCGGCATCTAATTGCGCCTGGGCGTTGATCTGCGCAGCCCGGGCTTCCAAAGTGCGAATCTCCAGGGCTCGACGATACTCCTCTAGCGCTCTCAAGTCCAAGGCGCGGTACTGCTCTAGGGCGCGTAGTGTGGCCAGGCCCTTGACATCCAGAGGTCGCGGGGGCTCGGGGGTAGTACGAGGCTCCAGCCCCTTCTGCCCCACACTCCTGCCAGGGCTGTTCCGTCCCTCACTCCCTCTCTCTTCCTCTCTAGTGTTTACGTCTTCCACCACGTCTTCTCCATCTTCGTCCTCCTGTCTCTCAGACCTCGCCGGAGATGTTTTGTTTACCTTCGGGAGAGACACTCGATCCAACATGGCGTCCCGAGGATCAGTATCACAGAGTCTCTCATCATCCCGAGGGGCGTCGTTAGTTGTCTCTGCAGGTCTGTGGTAGGCGGAATCAGGGGAGAGATCATGGACGACCTCAAGAGCATTATGGACGGAATCGTGAGCGGATTCAGCTTTATGGTGGGCGGATAACTGGGCGAGGAGAGCGTGGAAGGATGGTGGGTAGAGAAGCGGACTGCTGAGCGGGTTGAGTAGTGGGTACCTGAAGGGGGAAACAGATCGGGAGTCAACACACTACCTCAGCTCCTCTAGTGCACACACTCACACTAAATGTATTGGATGAGTTTAATGCTTTATAAATATCCAAACCATCTACTTACATTTTACTAGATGAAGAAAGAATCATTTGGTTAACATAATTCAGAATTAAGTTATAAAGAAAATTATTTACCATATACAATAATTGGTAGTAGGTGTATGTAATGTATGCCACACACCAGAGTAGAGAGATAGTCTTATGCTTTGTTCTTGTACCGTGTTGATAATATATGTTGTATATCCGCATATTGCTCAAGGTTACGACACTCACGACACGGGCTGACTCACACCATTTGTATGTAGGATAATCATGAAGTCTAATATCCTGGTTTATAGTTGATAGGTTGTGGGGAATTTCCATGTCCAGGGTTTTCAATTATTGTTTGTTTACTTGATCGACTTTCTGGAACTGACGACCGAATAACATACATATTTAGGGTAGAATATCACTCTTGTCTCGAAGCTATTTACCCCAGAAAGATTATTTGTCCGAACAGAATTTACTCGGTAAGAGGTGTGGTAAATGATTCTGGCTGTTAGTGTTATATAGGTGACATAAAATAATTAATTATGTTTGATGTTCGTCCGTCAGTTTGTCCATAAATAGTGTCAGTGTGTTAATTATAGTAGAGATTTTATGGAACGTTTGACACAAGTACAGAATATTATAGTTGGCTGATACTCGTCACACATTGTTTGATCAGATTAAAGATTATGATTTAGCAGCTGTTATTGTGGCATTGCGAGGCCTCATGAGTGTTGGGTGGCGCCGACACACAGACCCTTTGATCTATGTGGCCAGACAGACTCACTTGCCACCTTCTGGCGGGTTGTTTCCTGTACACCCCGAGAAAGATGGCGTCAACACTTGAGCAAGACATCGTGAGGAAACAAATGCCAAGAGGGAAACCAATACATTTACAGGTAGAGCGTGACCTGGTGGCCAGCCTTAAGTCGTGCGGACAAAATGGTTGCCTTAAGGTGGCCTCTGCTCCTCACTCTTCACAACCACAAACCACGTATCGAAATTTATCATGGCTTTTCTATTTTCATCCGATCATCACATGGAACTTGGTCACTCTAGCAGTCACTTCTACTTAAACATAGATCTTGAAGGTTTATATTTGATAATTTGGCAGATTTTGTTGCCAAGGAAGTGACGTATAGAATGAAGGGAGGATTGTTTATACATATCTGGGTTTGAGCTCACCTGTAGGCGGCAGCGGAGCGGGGGTCTCTCACCAGCGGCAACAATGGTGGGAATACATTCTGGGCGGCGCTAGCTGACGAAGACGTAGAGGGAGAGGAAGATGATACAGACAGGGTGGAGGAGGAGGAGGCGTGGGAATAAAGGAGTGATGGAAAGCGTGGGGGGTCGTGAGGCTTGGTGAGTGGGGGGCGCGTGTAGCCAGGGAAGGCCGCCAGTTTGCTCGCCAAGGAGGAGTACGGTGAGGAACTGGCCATGCCTCCGCCAGACCCGCTCAGTCCTGTTGACAATACGCAGAATTTAGTGTAACTCTTACTACACATGTTACTACTACTACTACTGTTACACATACTACTACTAATAACACGTTTTACTATTGATTATATGAATAAGGAAATGAGATAGATGGAAGGAGAAAGAACAGAGATAAATATAGATAAAGGATAGAGAGAAAGAGTATAGCGTAAGAAAGGAGTGAAAGAGATGCAAATAGCACGATTAAATTGTACAGATGTGAGTATAAATGTTGTTAGATGAATTATTTTAAGTAAAAAAAAAGAGGGAGAGAATTGATAAACGATTTGGATTCGATCAAAACTATGTGCATCATCCTGAACTATAAACATTCTTTTACAACAACATTAAAACCCGATCGTTGTAACAGTACTGGTAAATCTTAAACCAGAAATTAATTTACAGTAACAATAAAACCAGAACTTTTTACAGTAAAATATTAAAACAACTACTGTAAATCATGGGTCAGTTCTCACCTTTCTCCTGCTTCCTCCATTTGGCTCTACGATTCTGAAACCACACTTGGATCCTGGCTTCTGTAAGACCTATCTTCATGGCCAGCTCCTCCCTGTAACACATGAGGGACACTGTAACTCACTATATTTAATACACACAAACTTGACTGAACCACCAGATTTATTACCTTATAGAACACAAAATACTCTATTTATCTCTAAAACCTCGAAGGACTTTTTTTTATTATTATTTCCTGCCTGTCATCCACCATAAACCCCGACAAACCACTTTAATAACAATTACAGGTCATTTAACAAACAGCAATACACAGTTTACCTCCAGGAGCCACGATCGCTGTAATGTGGGCGAATCACGACACCCGTCACACCCCAGTTACTATGAATCAACGACGCAGTGAATTACTTCGTGACACACCCATTGTCCACCGCCACCGAGGACGTTCTTGTTAGATATAATGTTCTTTTGTTATGTACTAGTGGTGTTGTGGTAAATATGTACTAATGGTGTTGTGGTTAATGTGTACCGGTGTTGTGGAAAATATGTGCCAGTGTTTTGATTTAGTGGTAAATAAATATTGTTCAGAGTAAAGGTTTGGAATGACTTGGTAAATTAAAACAACATAACATTGGTTTAAATTTCCAGTTCACGTAAATATAAGTATTACAACAATGGCTGACAGAGAAAAGGCGAGAGAACAGCTGGTGGTGTGACTCGTGGGATGGGATGCAGGCCGCGGATTGGTTATGAGGAAGAAGGGGCAGTGCCGGATTTAGACCTGTGGAGGCCCATGGGCAGCCTCTTTGTGGAGGCCCCCTCATTATAACTACCCAAGAGGGTGGAGTGACGAGTGAAACGAGCCTAAACATCTGGGAGTTCCGGGGGGCGCTGTAAGCCCCCCGGGAAATTTTTTAAATTTGAACACTTCTTTGGAGAATTTTGAAGCCATATGCAGTAATACGGAGGAAATTAGAACATTGAGAAATTTTTAATTAACTGTATATTTATTGATAGTGTACAAATTCCCAACACACACACACACACACACAAAAGTGAGACATGACTGGAGTCATTCATGTGGTTTCAAGTCGACCAGCCCTGATATGTGGAGGCCCCTGGGCAGCTGCCCACTTTGCCCACTCCTGAATCCGGCCCTGAGAAGGGGGCGGGTTAAGGGGCGGGTCGGGAAAATTCAAAAGACGAAATAACGGGTTTAAAAAGGCGGAAAGGCGTTGAGAAGGACATATGTAGCATAGTATTTTTCCTTGGCATTCAGAAGAGCATAATAACTAAAATGGGCGTGGAAGATAAACCCCGCGGTGAGCCCTGTATCCGGTGTGGCCCTGACAGTCCATTTAGGAAGAATAATGGAGGACAAGTCAGCGAGTGTTCCATCCTTGAGTTGAAGGATTAAGGTTTTGTTTTGATTTGATGAATGGAGGTCTCGGGGATTTAAATATTAGTACTTTTTTATAAAAAAAAATGGAAAGATATTTTTCAGCGTCTTTCGTCTTGAAAGTTGTCTAGGATATATAAAATTAAATATCCATATATAACTATAGCAGTTTAATTGTTCATTTTATTTAAAGTTCGTAGAAGTGGGCGGAGCTTAAAAGGAAAAAGGGGTGGAGTTTGAGGAGTGGTGGGCGGGGCTCTTCACGACACACAGCTTGAGGTACATTCACAAGATTTTTCCCGGATATACAAAAACGATCAACTGTAGTAATGGAGACACCGTCTATAATGTGGAGCCTTTGGGTGAGGTGAGTGTGGAGAGGGCGAGCATCATCGCCAACAAAGGAGTGTCTGTCTGTTAAGTCGTGACAAAGCCCATAACCAAATCAGCCACCCGGGATAAAATACTTCCTCTCCAGCACATGCAACAAAAGCTCTGCTCACCTTGAACAAAATTGTCATGATGACGTGAAATTGTATTCTTTTCTCTATCTGGCGCTCAGAGACGCCTTACTTTGAAGACCTCTTGTTGACGGGGACAAGTTAATTTAGTTATCTTTGTGTGTGTGTGTGTGTGTCTGTATGTGTGTGTGTGTGTGTTCAAGGGGTCATGCAATTCGCTATAGGCAGTTAGGCACACTCCTGGGTCTAACGCTTGATTTTTAAATATTCATGGTATATTTAACCCGTCTCGTAGCCACCAAGTTTGAGTCGAACCAACAAGTAGACCAGTTAAGTGTTGTGAGGGCTATCAAACACGGTGGTTCTTGTGTGTCTACTGTAGGGTACTGATGCTGGATGGTAGTAAACATAATTCTCTAAGAGGCTTGTGTTAATCTGTTCCACTTTCTCTGGGGGTGTTACATATACCTGAGCCCCCTAACATTACAGTAGAGGAATGATAACATCTACAGAGGTGTCGAAAATATACCCCGACGCTCCTGCCATTACACTTGTTCTTTTGTCCATCGTCGAGGATAAAAAAAAATTGCCTTACACGACTTTGAGAATCACTTAACACACGTCACAATGTCACGACAGAGGCGAGGAAACAATGGAAAGGAACTGCGCCACCTGCGTCTTGATTCTCCAGCGCATAACTCATTTCATGCGTCGTGCTCAACTTTATTATGCCTGGCCTCTCACCCCTTTACATGAACTAGGTTGTGAAACTTTCTGGCCTGCTGGTGCGTCAGGGATCTCTATGAATGTCAGTTTAAGCCGAGTGACAGATCTTCTTAGTCGCGTTCGTAATTGCTTCTAACTGATTCAAATTCTTATCATGGCTGTCTCCTCTGGTGCCATGGTGACGTACTCATCATGGCAGACACAAATAATGTCTCGCTGTATAAGACTTGTTCTAAACCTGTTCTTTGTGGTTTTATTACTCGTTTATTGATTTCGAAGTTTGTTTCTGTGTGTACATTTGTGTTATTAAACTGGTTCTGCCGCCATGGTGACGATAATGATAAATTAATCAGTATTATATTTTGTTTGTCCCCTTGGAGTCACCTTCAAGATTTAATAATAACAAAATTACATATAAAAACATTTGATAACAAGGATACAAAAAAAATAATAAAACGTAGAAGAATTGTAACATAATTGACAATAATTTGGCCGGTGATATTTTAGCCGGAAAAAATAATTATGAAACATACATCAAAGTATAAAACTGTGATGGTTAACGTGTGGTAGGGATGATGGTTGGTGGGTTAACGTGTGGTGTGGAGGATGGTTGGTGGGTTAACGTGTGGTGGGGAGGATGGTTGGTGGGTTAACGTGTGGTGGGGAGGATGGTTGGTGGGTTAACGTGGGGTGGGGAGGATGGTTGGTGGGTTAACGTGTGGTGTGGAGGATGGTTGGTGGGTTAACGTTGGTGGGTTAACGTGTGGTGGGGAGGATGGTTGGTGGGTTAACGGGGGTGATGGTTGGTGGGTTAACGTGTGGTGGGGAGGATGGTTGGTGGGTTAACGTGTGGTGGGGAGGATGGTTGGTGGTTAACGTGGGGAGGATGGTTGTGGTTAACGATGGTTGTGGGGACGATGGTTGGTTAACGTGGTGGGGAGGAGGCTAACGTTGTGGGGGAGGATGGTTGGGTTAACGTGTGGTGGGGAGGATGGTTGGTGGGTTAACGTGGGTTAACGTGGTGGGGAGGATGGTTGGTGGGTTAACGTGGTGGGATGATGGTTGGTGGGTTAACGTGGGAGGACTGGTGGGTTAACGTGTGGTGGGGAGGATGGTTGGTGGGTTAACGTGGTGGGGAGGATGGTTGGTGGGTTAACGTGTGGTGGGGAGGATGGTTGGTGGGTTAACGTGTGGTGGGGAGGATGGTTGGTGGGTTAACGTGTGGTGGGGAGGATGGTTGGTGGGTTAACGTGTGGTGGGGAGGATGGTTGGTGGGTGTTTATTCATATAACTGAGGAAGATGTTAAAGAGTTCCCCCCGGCCATAAGTGACGGGCCCTCCCCATGGTCACTCACAAGGGCGCTGTAGACCTTCCACCACAACGGGGAAAAATAATACTAAAAATGCTTAAGTGATGTGTAAGTAACTGTGTGTACACCTGTCACCTGTGTGTACGCCTCTCACCTGTGTGTACACCTGTCACCTGTGTGTCGCCTACCATACACAGTCACCACAGGTATACATCTACGCGTCCATATAGGAGGAGTTAGTTTAGGGGTTATGGTGTGTGTGTGTGTGTGTGTGTGTGTGTGTGTGTGTGTGTGTGTGTGTGTGAGTGTGTGTGTGTGTGTGTGTGTGTGAGTGTGTGTGTGTGTGTGTGTGACCCATCATTTCTCAACACACAATACACCTTGTCACTTCATTGTACAATACTGAGGACACACGACACCACAGTTTGTTAACACATTTATCAGAGGTGTGTGAGTGTACGTAAAACTGCTGCAACAAATAACAATAACTGAGAGTTGAGAAACAGTAATAAGAACAAGGATGAGTGTAGCCTAGAGGAACGATACAGTGTTCCCTCCCGCCCCACTATGGCGACCATCACGTGTAACAACTGTGGCTATGTTCTCTCTCAGTCACGTTTATTTATTTTTTAATCTAATGAGAAAATATTGAGGTATAGAGAGAATAATTTATGCTATATAGTTAACTGAAATATAAAATAACGAGAAACAATTTGGATTCTGGATACTTCCCACACATTGCTGGAGACGCAGCCATTTTATTTTCCAGGAAAGAGAACATAGAGGCTGAATGTTCTCGTGCCTAAGATAATTGCGTATGAATGGCTGTGGTGTGAGGGTGTGCTTGGCCTGACTGCGTCTCGGCCACGGCTCGCCACCCACACAAGTGGATACTATGTCTCCGGAAGACATTACTCTGTTATTCTCCAGCGATCGCGACCTGCTCCCCTGCCGCCGTGTTGTACGCCTCGCTCCACCTATCCCTGCACGCCACGTAGAAAGTTCCCTCTCGCTTAACCAATCAGCCCACGCCACGTAGCAAGTTACTTCAACCAATCACGGCCGTCGTGACTCGTGTTTCCCGTACGCTTGAATGGTTAACATTAATCAACTTTCCAATTCTCCGCCCCGAGGTGTATACGTCAGCTACATGGCCTTCGCTGTATTAATATATAGGATTATTTGACAAAACATGTGGTGTGCAATGTCATGTTATATAAGTGGAGGCAAAAGGTTTCATTATTTTGCAGTGACGTATTCAGAGAACCATGGAAAAAGTATACATACTATAGTGATAATGACATAATTTGCCAAACTTTGGGCCGGTAGTTTGTGTTTGTAGGTTTATAGGCAACGAAGCCTCTAAAAAAACCAGATCTCTCTTGTTCGGGGGCGTGAGGTGGCACCTTTTGGTCCCAATAGAGTTGTTCCTTTTTTACACCTTCTTGTTGGGAGAAGAAAGATGGGCGTGTTTAATGTCCCCGTTGGTCGAGTCATCTGTCCTTCCTCGGTCCAGTGTTAATAGAGGAGGACCTGGGTGTACCCGTGAGGCTCGGGAGGGTCACACCTACACCACCAGCCTCCCCTCCTGCGGTACCTTTGTGCAGTCATCCAGCGCTGCTTCTCCATATCTCAGTTATCAATAGTCCAGTTGCCGGTAAAGGCTATCTTGTGTTGGCTCGAGACATTATTTTTAAGAGGAGGTCTGGAGGTCAGAGTCATCTCCACGCAGAGGGGGAGGGGGAGAGGTCAGACGAGGTCAACCTCTTCATGGGTCAGAAAGCTTGAAGCCCTAACAATGACCTCTGACGGGCGGTTCTTTTTTATTTGAATTAAGACTGATGCCCGGTCCTCCCACACGAGTGATGCATAACTAACACTCAACACGGGGAAAAATATGGACAAAAACTTACAAAAAACGTATATTTTGGCAATATATTCACGGACTCTAATCGTGCTGAAAAATTGTACGGGTCAAAGAGAGAAACAGAATCAGACAAATAGGATCAATGATTTTGTTGTTGATGTTGAGACGAGGAACACAGAGACAAGACTCACCTGGTGACGACGTCTGGGTACTGCGTCTTGAGGAACACCTTCTCCATCTCTTCCAGCTGGTAGGTGGTAAAGGTGGTTCGGTAGCGGCGCTGCTTCCTGCGCGGTTCCTCTAGGTGGGGGGGCTGTAGGCGTATGGGTCGCTGGGGGCTCTCCAGGGACGACAGGTCAAGGTGGTGGCTCTCCATGTCGTCGTCGAGAGGTCGCTTCATCCCTCGGTCTTCCCCGTCGTCGTGACCCAGACCGAAACGCAGGTGGGGGAAGAGAGATGAAGCTGGCAGTAGGGGTGGCACTAGGCCCCCTAACCGCCCAGCGTGGCCGCCCAGCATTCCTAACCTCCCAGGGTGGCCGCCCAGTCCAGCTCGTGCCATCTCCATGCTCAAGCGGGCGTGCAGACTTGTGGGCGGTAGTAGTGGTTCGGGCGACGCTGGTGGCTTAGGCCGAGAAAAATTAAGAGGTTCTAAGGATGGGTGGGGGGAAGGTGGCGTGGGTGGAGTGGTGGTGGGCGTGTGGGTGGTGGGCGGATGATGAGACGGGGATGTGGGTGTCTGGGGACGCTCCCTCTTGACCCCAGACATGACGGCCAACATGACGAACTGCACCAAACTGTAAGGAAAAGAAAACCTGATCTAGAGCTTAACATCCCTGTGATGGCCAGTAACGTTATGGGTCTCTGGGGTGGAAGACAACATTCAATATCAAAACATAATACATCTACTACTGTATATACATGACCCTTAGTGGCTGACAGACTACCGAACAACCCACAGAGATTACCTTCCCCTATGCTGCTCAGGGAACCAAAATAACTTCTCAAGAGCAGTTGTGAGGTGGTGAGGGCAGCGACACGTACAAGAGAGAATGAAGGTTTACAAACACATGCTAACTTTAACATTCTATACAACACCTACAGTACACCAGCGGCCATACAGTAGAGGCAGCTACCTCATCTCTAACTACCTGAGGTAAACAACACGAAGTTCCATATAGATACTGATTCATGAGTGCAGGACAGGTACAGCAAGTCTCATTGACCGCAGGTGTCGATAACATTATACAGGTGTTACCTTAACCTATTGAGTCCTGTAATGTTAAATCATCGTCCTCAAGGAATTAAATCATCATCACAATCAAATGGTTAAAACATCGTCTTCAAAGGTTTAAATCATCCTCACCAAAGGGTTAAACCATGGTACTCAAAAGGTTAAAAAAAATTAATCAGCACAGCTCGGATTAACGTCAGTACAAAACACGCGGTGAGATGACAGAGTAAAGCGAATGTCGGCGTGTGAGGACCGTAGAGTTTACCGCGTTACTCTCCCCCACTATTGGCCTGTCTTCACTGCCTGACCGACACTGTTTTACGTCGTGATATATTTGTTTTAGGTGTGTAATTAAATAATACCTTCAAGAGAGCTCCTCCTAACCTAACCTAACCTGTACTGTATCTTACTGTTCAACACGCTAACTGGCTGCTAATAGCTATGTCGCAATTTTATACGTAATTTCCTGTATCTATTAATAATGTAAATAATTTGTGCATTGTGTATATATTATAATGTTTTTTGGCGGATTATTTTATTGAGCACACACACACACACACACACACACATCTCATTTATCTATGATTTAATTTTCTTATAATTTGCTGTATAATTTCACAATAAATTATATTTATTTCAGTTCACTGTATCTTATAGTTTTAACATATGTAATTCACGGTTATATAACGCACTCTATAGTTTATATAATTTACGATATATGTAAATAGTCGTATATATAATTAATGACGAACTTTTTCTCTATAACTGCGACAAAAAAATTCATTCCACATCCGCTGTTCCGAATATAATAACACTATATGTGCCACAACTACAAGAGCTAATAATAATAATAATAATAATAATAATAACAATAATAATAATAACAATATTAATAAAAAAAATTGTAATTTGCAGTTTGATAACAAGACAATAGATGGATAGCAGAGTTCAGGGTATCATTCTTGTCTTTATCATTATTATTATTATTATTATTATTATTATTATTATGATGCAAGTAAATTCTCCAATATTAGGAATTTATTTATTAAAACAATCGGTAAAGTGACTCATCGTGAATGTTTGTCTCAGTGAAGTGTGTCCGGAGTGCCTCTTTAAGACCCTCACACTGATCTTACTATAGTTTTTTGCGCTTGAGACGATGTACAGAGTGTAAATCCGTGTTGTTTAAAAGACTAATTGATATTTTTTCTTCTAAATTCTCGTTTTCGACAGTTTATTTAATTATTAACATTTGAGGTTACTTTTGAATTTACTTATGACTATGATTAATGTTTTTAGATATAATTTAAAATATGTATAGCTACTCTGCAACCCGGAATATCTTATACTAGAAGCTTAAACAAAGGTTATACTAATTATAACGTAAATCTAAGACATACGGACTTACTCTAAACTAGATTATCTTTCTCATAACACAACTTTATAACCAATGGCATTTAGTTTAGTTTAGCTTTATGCAGGAGGGGGGACTGCAGCCTTCGAACCAAACTTCTGTTCCTCGAAACTGTTATTGTCTGGTGTTCATGATTTAACCCAAAAATATAAACTAATTTATTGTTAAATTTTGATTGAGTTCCCTGTTTTATTAAAGGAATTTTAATTAAATATATATGACGACGTGACACTATAGCTTCTAACTTGATTATCTATAGAAACAATGTTAAAATATTTCCCAGCCTGTGTTATATAGCAATGTTGGGTATCAATGTTTGTATATTACTAGCAACATTACGTGGATCATTATCAACAAACAAAAACTATCGTAACTTAATAATAATACTAAATAATAATATTAATACATAATCATAATACGATTTAAATACTTATAACCGTGGTATTATCATCATTACGATTATTTGCCAATTTAAAATGTGTGTAATCACTTGAGATCTAGGAATATTAGTTATATATTTCAAGGTCTTTAATTAAATATACTTGAGGTTCCTTCAGAATCACCAACCGAGCTTATTTCACCTGAAGATTAACCACCCCAACACTATTTGAGGGGTTGAGGTTAGGTTAGGTTAGATTAGGTTAGGTTGGTTAATCTTTAGGTGAAATAAGGTCTGGTGGAGGAGATTCTTTCAATTATCCATTTTAAGCAGATGATGGTGCCTACAAACACACACACACGCACATGCACACGCACGCACACACACGCACACGCACACACACACACACATAATGTTTTAAGTCGTGTTAAGGAAAGTTGCCAACAACACAACACTCCTCAACACACAACTGTTCTTCTCACGTAAAATATTCAATACAATACTGTGTCGTTCCGGAGGTGTTGATGGGGAAACATTGTGTCTCTTTAAATGGTGTCCGTCACTGTTAAGTATTTCTTGGAGGCATTTTTTAGTTTTGGAGTTTGATAATTCTTAAAACTTGTTATGGTGTTATACAAGACGTGAACAGCTTCTAGACTATGGGATTGTCTAGTTTCCAGAGGGTTAGGTTTCATCACTCCAACACTCCAACACTACAACACTCCAACACTACAACACTACAACACTCCAACAAACTCATAATACTGACTCACCGTAACAAATGATTTGGTCTTCCACAATTCCTGTGAGAGTTTTGGAGGTAAAGTGAGTTAGGCAGTGTGTCACACGAGGACCCACACACGTACACACTTCTGTTAACAACGTCACCAGACTAACAACTGTTCAACAACCTTTGGTGTATTAATCACATGAGAGGTGTCCCGACCATTATAGTACACCGTGTAGTGTCCGCACCGCTGTCACACACACACTCCCTCTCACCAGTACAGTACACATTTCATTTGAAGAAAATGACACCCTAATAACGTTATGCTTCTACCGACATCATTACAGTGTCGGTCGAGTTGCCGGTTACCTGAATATTACTTCATTTCTTAACCGGTTATGTCAGTCCCTTAACATTTAAAAAATATATTCACGACAGTACCTTTATGTTAAACTTATTAGGCACGTGTTTACGAGTCATTAATATATTAGGAGATAATGAAATATAGATATATTGGATAAAGATCAACATTTGACATCACTAAGTTTCCCTCCCCAAGTGGGCGGCCGGAGCGTGACGTCAGAGGCGAGGAGCGACGTGATTGGTCCAGACGAGCGGAAGGAGTAGTGTACCCGCGTGGTTAATGAAGTAAACTCGGTGGAAAGTTGTCACGATCGCTGCCTTTTTGCTCCAATTGACAATTTCCACATTCTTTGTTCTTGCTGGAGGTGTAATTCCCGCCCGGGGAGGGACCGTGCTGTATTTCCTCACACACTCGCGCCCTACAATAGTGAAAGACGAGACAATTTACAAACTGGATCTCGAAATGGCGGGAATTTACTGAGGCGAGGA